AGTTTAATAGATGAAATAGTCATCGTCAAGTAGAGGATTAGTAAATTGAATTGACCCTTTGTGTGCATAGGGAAGCAAAAAGATTAAAAAAAAAATGAAAAGGCACTTAAAAGGCATAAAGCTCTCGGCTACATTTAATAGGCCATTTCAGAGAGAATAGAGAAATGGTGGAGAAGTATATAAAGAGATGATAAGAATTTTTCAGATTTTGGCAAAAATAAGAATCTTCAGATCAAAAGTACACTTTGAATACTAAGCAGGATAAGTTAAAAGAAAATCATAGATTTCAAAACGAAACCAAAAACAAGAAAAAACCCAACTTAAAACCTTCCAAAGAGAAAGTAAAAATGCTATCCAGTTGTTGCTCTTTTGAGGTAGACTTTTTATCTGCCACAGTATGCAGAAAACACAGACAGGAGTGATTTGGAGTAACATCCATGAGAGGGTGAAAGGAAAAAAGAGAAATTTTTTTAAGGGTGAGGTTTTTATTACAAAATATTAGATAAAAACATAATAAAATCAACACCTGGGCATTTACCACCCAATCTAAGAATTGGTGCAGAGTCTGAGTGCCTCCAGAGAGATGATCTGTGCAGATCCTTGCAAAACAAGTGTCTCAGATTAACTGTGCTGCCAGTAATGGAGTCCAGATCATGACTTCTTCATTTTTTATTATTATTATTTATTTATTTGACAGAGAGAGAGAAATCACAAGTAGGCAGAGAGGCAGGCAGAGGGAGAGGGGGAAGCAGGCTCCTTGCTGAGCAGAGAGCCCGATGCAGGCTTCGATCCCCGGACCCTGAGATCATGACCCGAGCCGAAGGCAGAGGCTTAACCCACTGAGCCACCCACGCACCCCAGATGATGACTTCTGATAGTGAAGTTAAACTGATGAAAATTGCCAAGGTACATCCAAAAGTAAAGTGGGTTTTGCAGATTGCCACTGATGATTCCCAAACAGTCCGTCTCAATTTTAAATTTGATGCCACACTCAAAACCAGCAGGGTTCTTTTGGAATGGGTGAGAGAGCTGAACACTGATGCCATCGGTGTCAGCTCCTACGTGGGAAGTGGCTGTACTGAGCCTGAGAGCTTCGTGCAGGCCGTCTCTGATGCCTGCTGTGTCTTTGACATGGGAGCTGAGGTTGGCTTCAGCATGTATCTGCTTGATATCATTGGTGGCTCTCCTGGATCTGAGGATGGAAAGCTTAAATTTGAAGAACTCAGCATCAAATTTATCAATTATAAACCCAGCACTGAACAAGTATTTCCTGTCAGAGTCAGACTTGGGATTGAGAATCATAGCTGAGCCTGGCAGATACTACATTGCACAGCTCTCATGCTCGCAGTTAGTATCTTTGCCAAAAAAACTCATATTAAAGGATCACACAGGCTCTGATGATGAGGGTGAGTCGAGTGAACCAGACTTTATGTATTACATGAATGTTGGAGTATATGGATCATTTAATTGGATCCTTTATGAATCTTCTGCAAAATAGACCCAAACCAGATGTGAGGTACCATTCACCTAGCGTATTGGGACTGACATGTGATGGCCTTGATCACATTGTTCAGAGCTGTAATTTTCCCGAGAGGCATGTGGGCAGTTGGATGCTCTTTGAAAAAGTGGGTGTTCACACTGTTGCTGCTGCTTCTACTTTGGATGGGTACCAGAGGCCAGCTGGGTGCTCTAAGATGTAGGGGCCAGCATGGCAACTGATGTAGCAAATCCAGAACCACGACTTCCTGTGCCCTAAGTAGAGGACTAGGATGTCAGCCCCTGCCCGCGTCCTGGGCCTGGGAGAGGAGGACAATGCGTTCCCCCGCTGCCTGTCCTTCAGCTAGCATTCGCGTGTGGGTGCCATTCCTGTAGCTGTTAACTTCAAGTCTCTCTTGAATTGTGGGATTTGAAGGGACAGTTTAAATTAATTACTGCTAATTTTGAAATGTCTTTGTAAGAAGGGTTGGCATGGATGCAGCAATATGGAAGGCTAGGGAGATGGAGTCAGTTATCTGTGTTCCTGTGGAAACTAATTGAATATTTGTTTTTATAGGATTTTTTTCACTTCTCATACATGCTACCAAAGAGTGCCCCTTAGCTGCTGAGCAAGCATTTGTAGCTTATACTTTGGCAGAATGGGCCAGAAGCTTAGTGTTGTGACCCGTTTTCAAAATAAAGTATCTTGGGGTGCTTCGCTGCCTCAGTTATTGGGCGTCCTACTCTTGGTTCTGGTTCAGGTAATGATCTCAGGGTCCTACGGGCAGGCTCTGCGTTGAGCTCTGCACTCAGCGAGGAGTCTTCTTAGGATTCTTTCCCTCTTCCTGTCCCTCCCTCTCTGCCCCTCTTCCTGATAAATTTCTTTAAAAAAAAAAAAAAAAGGCATTTTGAGGGGCACCTGGCTGGCTCAATTGGTGGAGCCTGAGTCTCTTGATCTCACGGTTGTAAGTTCGAGCCCTATGTTGGGTGTATAGATTACTTAAAAATAAAATCTATATTTAAAAATATCTTGAAATTAAAAAAAAAAACAAAAACAAGAAAAAGCTAAGTGACTGTCCTGAATTTTGTGTTGAGCTCCAAAAGCATAGATTTAAACATTTGTGTGTATTGTTTAACTTGTTTTTTTTTACTTTATTGTGTGGTAACTTATTGTGTGTATGCTTTTGTGTTTTACTTTTTTCATTACATTTTGGAAAGATTTATCCTAATGGTATATGTGTCTGGTTCATTCATTTTCATGGGGATAATTAGAGTACATACTTTTGAGGGTTGTGTGAATTAAATGAGTTGATAAATGCAAAGTGCTTAGAATAAATAGTGGTTGTCATATAGTAAAGGCTCAAAGAAAGATGGCCATTATTATATTTATAATGTTCACTACTATAAAATCTATGACTATAACATGGTATAACTGTCAATGCTTATAGACATTTGGGTTGTTTCCAATTTGAAGCAACAGACCAGTGCTGCTCTGAAATACTCATATACTTTTCTCCTTGTACTCTTGTGCAAGTTTTCTATTAAGGCAAATATATTGACCTAGAAGTAGAATTTGCTAGGTCACAGGTTATGCTTGTGTTCAACTATATCAGATAATGGCAACTTGTTTAGCAAGGTAATTGTGTCTTTGTGTATTTCTACCAGCAGTACATGAATTCTCATTGCTCCATATCCTTGCCAACATTAGATATTGATGTATTTCTTCATTTTCTTCTAATGATGGTTGTAAAATGGCTTCTTGTGGTTTCGTTTGGGTTTTGTCTATAATGAGGCAGCCATTTCTTCATATGTTTATTTGTTACTTATATTTCCTTTCTTTCTTACTGTCTTCTGCTCTGTTTTTCTAATGAGATTTTTTTTCTTGTTGATCTGGAGTAATTCTTAAATATTGGTAGTTATCATTTGTTGATCCTATTTATTAGAAATATCTTCTCCCAATTTGAAGCTTTTCTTTTCTTTTTTTAAATGATCTTTTTGGGGACGCCTGGGTGGCTCAGTTGGTTAAGCGGCTGCCTTCGGCTCAGGTCATGATCCCAGAGTCCTGGGATCGAGTCCCACATCGGGCTCCTTGCTCGGCAGGGAGCCTGCTTCTCCCTCTGCCTCTGCCTGCCACTCTATCTGCCTGTGCTCACTCTCTCTCTCTCTCTCTCTCTCTGACAAATAAATAAATAAAATCTTTAAAAAAAAAAAAAAATCTTTTGGGTGCCTGGGTGGCTCAGTGGGTTAAAAGCCTCTGCCTTCGGCTCAGGTCATGATCCCAGGGTCCTGGAATCGAGCCCCGCATCGGGCTCTCTGCTCAGCAGGGAGCCTGCTTCCTCTTCTCTCTCTACTTGTGATCTCTGTCTGTCAAAAAAATAAATTAAAAAAAATCTTTAAAGGATCTTTTGGTGGACAGAAGTTTTGAATTTTGATTTAGTAGAATATACCCATTTTTTCTTGTTTAAGAAATCTGTCTGTACCATAAATATATTCTCTGTTGTCTGTTAGGTGTGTAAATGCCTTAACATGTAAATCTTTACCTGAAATTGCCTATTTATGGGGTGAGGTATATTTAATTTTTAATTTTTATTTAATTACTCATTTATTTTGGGGGGAGGGAGTTGTATAGTTGTCCCAGTAGCCACTTGATAGTCATCCTTTCCTCATTGAATAATATCTCTACAATAGTTTTTTTACCCCCAAGATTTTATTTATTTATTTGAGAGAGAGAGCACAAGCAGGGGAAGGAGTAGAGGGAGAGAGAGAGGGACAAGCAGCCTCCTGCTAAGCAGGGAGCCCAGCATGGGTCTTGATCCCAGGCCCCTGAGATCATGACCTGAGCCAAAGTCAGATGCCTAACTGACTGAGCCACTCTAGGTGCCCCTCAAGAGTAGTTTTGAGTAAAAGAATTTATAGTATGTGTCATCGTTTTGTTCCTTATTTTATTTATTTATTTATTTATTTATTTATTTATTTATTTATTTATATGAGAGAGAGAAAGTGAGAGAGAGTATGAGATGGGAGAAGGTCAGAGGGAGAAGCAGATTCCCTGCAGACCTGGGAGCCCGATGCAGGACTTGATCCCGGGACTCCAGGATCATGACCCGAGGCGAAGCCAGTGGCTCAACCAACTGAGCCACCCAGGAACCCTGTTCCTTATTTTAAAGAAATGCATCTAAATTTTTCACCATTGAGTATGTTTGTTAGAGGTTTGTTTTATTTTTTAAGGAAATCCCTTCTTATGTTAATTTTCAAGAGTTTGAAAGTTGCATGGGTGTTGAATATTAGTGAATGCTTTTTCTTTAGCTCCTGAAATGATTCTATAGTTTTTGTTCTTCAGTCTGTTAATTAGGGGCATTGATAGGTTTACTAATGTTTGACTACTCTTGAATTCCTAGGATAAATACAACTTGGTCTGTCATGTATTATCTTTTTTATACATTGCCAGATTGTTAGCTAATATTAAGTTCATAGGTTTGTATGAAAGCAACTACTTATTGTTACTTTTTTAATATACTTTATAGCAGAAAATATAGGCGCTGAACTGAAAGCTCCACTTATTAAGCAAGAGCCTCTCCAAGTAAGAGGTAAATATATTTTATTCTATTTTTCATTATAATGGTGTTTTGAATATACAAAATTAGTTTATATAGAGCTCTGTATAATTGTATTATTCTGAGTGTCCTGCCTATTTTTACTTTTCTTTAAATATACTGACTGTAAAGATTTATACTCCTGCTTATAAGCTAATTTCTACTGAAGTTCACTTTGCATTTGGGTTATAAATTTGGTGGTAATTATTTTTTCAAAAGCCCAAAGAAGGAAGTAATGGCAAATAAAAGTCACCCATTGCTTTATCATTTTTAGAAAAGTAGTGTGATTAAACAGACCAGTACCTTTCAGTTCCAGCACGTTCAAATCCAAATAGAGTTTGGACATTCTTGTCCAACTTTCTTTTTTAGGAATAACTGAGTGACGAAGGCAGTCTTGTTTGCAGCTCTGCTCGTTGTAATGAACTATGTCTCCTGTCTACAAACCAGTGTGTTTGACAAGGGCAGTAACTCTGTGACTAGAAGCACCATGGCTTTGACATCAGACAAAAGTGGATTCAGTTTGTGGTTCCAGGATGTATTAACTGTATAGCCTTGGGCATTTTCCCTTTGCCACAGTTTTCTCCCCTATAAGACTGTGCTAAAAATGGGATTTCTTTTCTAGTATAACCTTGAAGATGATCCGTAGTATATATAATGACAGTTAAGAATAATTAACATTGATAGCTGTCACCATCGTCAATACCCTGGGCCAGGACAGGCCAATAAGGATTTCTGTATACTTTGAAGAAATCTTTAAAAAGTAATTTAAAAAAACACTCAATCTTTCAAAAGAAAGAATAATTATTTGCTCCAGAGGAGCTCATCTGAATATAGAATTTTAGGATTATTAGAGTAAGCCAGTTCAGAGACTTGAAATTCACAGAAAAAGAATCGTGAACTTCCTTAGATATATTTTTTTCAAATAAAGTTTTTATTTTTATACTGAACTTTATGTTTGGAATATTCTTCTTCTTATTTTTGCATTTGATTTTAATAGTTAATATGATATTTTAAGAGTCTTTTTTACCTACTGTATTGATGAATCATTTTAGTCTTAATTTGCTCTTTCCACTTCAAAGTACAATGGAAAATTTGTTAATTAATATCTGAGAATAGAATATGAAGCAACAGGGTGATAGTTGGAAGTGGAACAGATGACTTTCTGTTGTTTTGCCCCTGCTCTTCAGATATTTGCTTATTTTATTTATCTGTGTCATACAATCGAAAGTCTCAGTTTCTGATTTATAAATATAGACCTATATTGAGTGTAGTTTTTGATTTACAGACTATAATTGATGCCAAACTGATACTTTGTTATTGATATCTCTGGTTTTTTTGTTTTTTGTTTGTTTGTTTGTTTTTTTAATGAACAACTTGATACTTGGTAGTAGGGAAACAGTTTAGTAGAAGGTAGTATTTTACCTAGAATCTGTAGTAAACGTTCTATAATTTTTAACTGATAAAAATATTTCTTATGTTTACTTTAGCTTTCTTATGAACTATGGTGAAACAGTCCAGCAGCTTTAGGCTTTTTTGACTGCAAGTCACATAAGAAGTAATAATGACCTACTATATATATATATATGTGTATATATATATATATATATATATATATATACACATTATTGTATGTAACTGAAACAAAAGCTTTCATAAAACGTACTTATTCATTGTATGTGGTACTCTTTATTCACTTTTTATTTGAATTTTTTATAAAATGTCGGTTTTACCCTGCAGTTTAGAAAACATTGAACAAGCATGTGATTTTTTTTTTATTGAAACCTCCTTTTCATTTAGACCCTAGACAATTTATTATTATTTTTTTTAGACCCTAGACCATTTATATTGTACTAGTACAATGTAAACTGAGCAGGAATACCTCTACAGGGTATCCATTAGACAGAGGGTTGACATTTGGCATCAGTTACAGATGACTATGGAGATAAAATCTAGACGGCTACAAATGGAATTCTGTCCTAATCTGCACTTGGGAGACTTTCTTCTTCTGGTGCCATTCAGTGCATCAAGAAAAACATCAATTTTTCTATGAAATTCATTAGTGAGCCCTCTTGAGTATCAGCATATGTTCATCTTCTAATGTGATTTCTAATGTCCATATTTATGTTTTTTTATATTTTTGGATGTAGTCAAAGCAGTCCTTAAGAAGAGGGAGTATGGACCAAAGTACACTCAGAATAATTTCATCACTGGAGTCAGAGCAATAAATGAGTTCTGCCTTAAATCCAGGTATAGTAGTTGTTTTTTATAAAATGTGGTAGTTCTAGCTCATCTAAATAACCATGTATTTCTTAGAATGTGTTACTTGCTGCTATCCATGTGGAAATTTTCCCATGACTCCTTCCTAAATTGAAGAACTACTTTGTTCAGTTAAAAAACTGTTAAAATTGTTAGTTTATGAAACTGAATTCTGCTTCAGTGTGGGCAATCCAGTCTTTCCTGGTATCTTAAACCCAAAGAAGCAGGTTCTTAAAGACATCTGTATCACATAAGAACCTTAGGAGTTTTATTATTATGTTAATATGTGGCATATAAGATATCTTATCAATAAGATATTTGCATATGTGTATGTTTAACTTTTTAAAGTGTTGGGTTTTACATTGAAAAAAATAAAATTAAAAAAAAGTGTTGGTTTTTTTTGGCTAATGGAGTTGAGTAATTTAGTTACATTTATGTTCATACTCCAACTCTGTTGAGCATAAATTATTTTTGTTTTCTGATATCTTTTTGTTATGAATTTTCTTGTAATCATAGATTTGTTGAGATATTTGTCACAAATTAAAAATTTCCCCCTCCTTTCCATGTTTACCTAAGCAAGCCATATTACATGGAAAATTTCTTGACATTTAGTTATCAGATTTAGCCTCTTCCCCGCCCCCCGCCCCGCCCATCACAGCCTCCATGGTATATTATCAAGAAATAAGAACTCTTATAATCAGTTTTGTAACTTCCATACCTATTAACAACCAGTTGTGCCATTGATTGATGTAAAACAATGTCCTGTTTCACATGGAGTATTTCATTTAGTTCTCACAAAAATTTTGTGAATTAAGTAGATTAGGTATTGCTAGCTCCACATTGTAGGCCAGGAAACATAGTAAAGACGTCACTGATGACCCAGCTCATTTACTAAGTCAGCATCATGGGGTTAGAATACATATCTTTGATACCTTGTCCAAACTTTATACTAATATGTGATGGTTGGTTGTTGATTTATTGTATTGTATTTATTTTAAAGATTTTATTTTTAAGTAATCTCCATACCCAGTGTGGGGCTCAAACCCACAATCCCGAGATCGAGTTGCTGCTCCACTGACTGAGCCAGCCAGGCACCCTATAATCTCCCAAGTTTAATTTCTTGGAACTTATACCAGGTTTTTATTTATAGGCCTTTTCATAACTCTTCTAAAATTTCCATAGGAAATTTGATCAAATTTAGAATGACTGTCGGGGTGCCTGGGTGGCTCAGTGGGTTAAAGCCTCTGCCTTTGGCTCAGGTCCTGATCATCGAGCCCTGCATCGGGCTCTCTGCTCAGCAGGGGGCCTGCTTCTCCCCCTCTCTCTGCCTGCCTCTCTGCCTACTTGTGATTTCTGTCTGTCAAATAAATGAATAAAATCTTTAAAAAAAAAAATTTAGAATGACTGTTTAGCAGTGTTGATGAATACATAAACCTTGAGAATGGAAAATAAGTAACATAGAATTGACAGACACTCTTTAACTTGATACCTGTAAATAGCATTACCATTTAGTATCACCACTTAGTATTAATCTGGATATAAACAAGTATGACTATAAATTTTTAATTTAAATTCTTAGTAGAGGATGTTACTCTAATCCATCTGTTTTTTTTCTACTTTTTTTCATACATCAGACATTGCAGTTGGGTGTCCATAGCAGATAAAATACAAACACTAATGAAGGAATTACATCTCTGCCTATCACGTTATGGTATTTTTAGTGAGCATCAAGAAAAATTTTTATTTTTTCACTGTCTCTAGACCACATTTTGTGTACAAAATGCCATCTTTATTTAAACTGATCTTTCCAGCCTTAAACTGATCTGTATAGCCTTTAAAGATCAGGATCTAGGTAGTGGCTTTTACCTACCCCTAATAATCTTTCTAAGAACGAAAACTATGTGAACCTTTTCAGAATAAATTCAGCACGTTTCTTTCTTCAGTGATCTAGACCAGCTTCGAAAAATCAGACGACGAAGTCCTCATGAAGATACTGAGTCCTTTACTGTATACTTGAGATCAGATGTGGAGGCAAAGTAAGAACATGCTTCTTCTAGAATAAATGTACAAGGCAAATTTTAGATTAATAAAAACCAATATTGGTTAGAGGCTTTTAAATGATCTATTTTAAAAGCAGAATATTTTTATCTTTACAAACTTGTTTGCAAATTACTAATATGTACTAGTTAACTAAAAGTATTTGATAATTTATAAGAAAATTTGTTGTTGAATTTACTTACTATTTAGAGTTAATTTAGAAACATTTTTTAAGTCCTATGTATTTTTCTTAAAGGACCTTCTGCTTTGTTGTAATCTTTTCATGTTGTTATAGTTCATCTTGATTTAAATATAATTACAATAAAGTCATTAAAATTGTCCATTGTTGATGGCTATATATGTATGCACAGATCCTTGGAAGTTTGGGGAAGCCCTGAAGCTTTGGCCAGAGAGAAAAAACTGCGTAAAGAAGCAGAAATAGAATACAGAGAAAGTAAGTATATTCACTTTAAAGTGGAGTTAATTGAAAAGTAAGTTGTAGGTAAAACTTGGGCCTTAATAATTGCACTCCCTAGTAGTTGCATGCCTCTCCACTTTGGCTCTTTTGGTTCTAGCAAATATTAATTGTCACTTTGGGATTCAGTTACTTTTTAAAAACAGTATCAGGACGCCTAGGTGGCTCACTCGGTTAAGCGTCTGCCTTCATCTCGGGTCATGATACCAGGGTCCTGGAATGAATCCTAGCATCAGGTTCCTGGGTCAGTGGGGAGCCTGCTTCTCCTGCCTGCTGCTCCCCTGCTTGTGTGTTTGCATGCTTGTTCTCTCTCACAAATAAAATCTTAAAAAACAAAATAAAATAAAAGCAGTGTCTATTTTTTTGTGTTTTTCCTCTATAGCTCTTTTAAGGATGATGAGAGGAAACAAAGCTGGTTGGTGGTTTATTATTATAAGATACATGAATATTATAATTTATGGTCTGATTTGAAGATTACACTTGTTCTAAAAGTGATTGTGCTTTCTTACAGAAAAGTTTGTTAATTCAGTTTCCTCATTTCTACTTTACTTTTCTAATTTTTCTGTTTATTCCAGGGAGAGTCGCATGAATTGGGGGAGGGGCAAAAGGAAAGGGGGAGAGAGAGAGACACAGACTCCCACTGAACACAGAGATGCCAGGCTGATCTCATGTCTCATGAGATCATGACCTGAGCTGAAACCAAAGCTGGATGCTTAACTGATTGAGCCACCCAGGCACTGTCTGCCCCACTTCTACTTTAATTCATTCATTCAGCAGATATTTATCAAACATTTACTGTGAACTAGAAGCTGTGGTTGATGCTTGAGATTTAGTTGCAAATAAGACTCTCTGGGCATTTAACACTCCAATAGTTGAGTGACAAAGCCATCTTTATAGAATTAGGATTCAGAATTATGTGAGATATAATTTAGCTAATTCTTTGATTTTCATACATGTATATATTCATTAATGTCAAAAGTGTTGCACACTTGTGATTTAAAAAAGGATACAAAAATATAAAGAATAAAAGTCTCCTTTCATTTTCTCTAGTCACCATCTCATTTTACTTCCTATGGATAACTGTTGCTGGAAGTTTGGGATATATCTATCCAGAATATTTCTCTGCTGCATTTTCAAATTTTATATACATCATTTTTTTCACTTAAACATAAAAATTGGTGACACTATACCTATTGTTTTGCCTCTAGTTCTTTATACTTGCCAGTGTAACCATAAACATCTTCCCATGTCTACATATAGAAATCTACCTCTCTCTCATTCTTTTTTAACAGCTGCATAATATTCCACTGTGTGGATGTAATAAGCTTTATGTTCTCAAACTTTTTTTTTACTATTACAAAGAATACAACAGTCAATATCATATTTCTTAAATATATAATAACATTCTCTTATTACAAATACATAGGTAAAATGTTAGTAATATTTCAAGGTCAAAGGACATGGGCATTTTAAAATTTAATAGAATATTCTCCGAAGGAATATGGTGCCAGTTTACATTTACACTTAAAGTGTATGAGGGTGACTATTTTCTCAAACCCTTGACAATGTTGGATATTACCATTGTTTTAACTTTGTTGTGTATTTGATGGGCAGTAGATGATATCTTTAATTTTGAGTTTCTCTGGTGACTGCTGAGGTTGGTTATCTTTAATACATTTATTTGTTTTTCTTAACTCTTCTGTGATAATTTTTATATCCTTTACTCCATCTCTTACATTAATATATCTTCTTAAATTGATTTAATGAGTTTTTGGTAGATTTTAACTCTTTAATTTTGTATGTTCTAAATATTTTTTTCTTTTTTTTTGGAGTTATCTACTTTTTAAAAAAATTTTATTTATTTTTATTTCAAGTTTTTTTAAACTCCAGTTAGTTAACATATAGTGTAATACTGGTTTCAGGAGAATTTAGTGACTCATCACTTACATCTAACACCCAGTGCTCATCACAGCAAGTGCCCTCCTTAATCCCCATCACCCATTTAGCCCATCTTGTGCCCACCTCCCCTCCATCAACCCTCAATTTGTTCTCTGTAATTAAGAGTTTGCCTCCTTTTCTTTTTTTTTATTCCCTTCGCCTATGTTCATCTATTTTGTTTCTTAAGTTCCACATATTACTGCAATCATACAGTATTTGTTTTTCTCTTACTGACTTATTTTGCTTAGCATAATACAGTAGCTCCATCCACATTGTTGCAAATGGCAAGGTTTCATTCTTTTTGATGGCTGAGTAATACTCCATTGTATATTTACACCACATTTTCTTTTATCCATTCATTAGTCGATGGACATTTGGGTTCTTTCCATACCTTGGCTGTTGTTAATAATGGCTGCTGTAAACAACAGGGTACATATACTTTGAATCAGTATGTTTGTACACCTTGAGTAGATACCTAGTAGTGCAATTGCTGGGTGGTAGGGTAGCTCTATTTTTAACTTTTTGAGGAACCTCTGTACTGTTTTTCAGAGTGGCTGCTCCAGTTTGGATTCCCACCAACAGTATAACAGGGTTCCCCCTTTCTGCATTCTCATCATCTGTTGTTTCCTGAGTTGTTAATTTTAGCCATTAGGGTGAAGTGGTATCTCATGGTGGTTTTGATTTGTATTTCCCTGATGATGAGTGATGTCGAGCATCTTTCCATGTGTCTGTAGCCATCTGTATGTCTTCTTTGGGAAAATGTCTAGTTATGTCTTCTGCCCATTTTTAAACTGGATTATTTGGGGGTTTTTTGGGGGTGTTGAGTTTGGTAAGTTCTTTGTAGATTTTGGATACTAACCCTTTATCAGCTATATCATTTGCAAATACCTTCTGCCATTCTTTAGGTTGCCTTTTTAGTTTTGTTGTTTCCTTAGCTGTGCAGAAGCTTTTTACCTTGAGGTGCCTGGGCGGCCAGTCAGTTAAGTGTCTGCCTTCGGCTCAGGTCATGATCCTGGGGTCCTGGAATCGAGCCCCGCATTGGACTTCCTGCTTAGCAGCGAGTCTGCTTCTCCCTCTCTCTCTGTTATCTCTCTCGCTTTTGCTCTCACTCAAATAAATAAATAAAATCTTAAGAAAAAAAAAGAAAGAAGAAGAAGCAGCTTTTTATCTTGATAAAGTCCCAACAGTTCATTTTTGCTTTTGTTTCCCTTACCTCTGGAGACATGTCTAGCAATAAGTTGCCATGGCTGAGGTCAAAGAGGTTGCTACTTGTGTTCTTCTCTAGGATTTTGATGGTTTTGTGTCTCCCGTTCAGGTCTTTAATACATTTTGAATTTATTTTTGTGTATGGTGTAAGAAAGTGGTCCAGTTTCATTCCACATGTGGCTGTCCAGTGTTCCCAGCACCAGTATGTTGAAGAGACTATCTTGTTTGCATTGATATTTTTTCCCTCCTTTATCAAAGATTAGTTGACCATATCATTGTGGGCCCATTTCTGGCTTTTCTATTCTGTTCCATTGATCTATGTATTTATTTTTGTGCCAGTACCATACTGTATTGATGACTGTAGCTTTGTAATAGAGCTTGAAGTCCAGAATCATGATGCCTCCAGCTTTGCTTTTTTTTCTCAAGATTGCTTTGGCTATTTGGGGTCGTTTGTGGTTCCATATTAATTTTAGGACTCTTTGTTCTAGCTCTGTGAAAAATGCTGGTGGTATTTTGATAAGGATTGCATTAAATATGTAGATGATTTGGGTCGTATAGACATTTTAACAATGTTTATTCTTCTAGTCTGTGAGCATGGAATGTTTTTCCATTTCTCTGTGTCCTCTTCAATTTCTTTCATAAATATTCTATAGTTTTCAAAGTACAGACCTTTTACATCTTTAGTTAGGCTTAGGTATCTTACAGTTTTTGGTGTAATTGCAAATGGAATCAATTCCTTGATTTCTCTTTCTGCTGCTTCATTTATGGTGTATAGAAAATGCAACAGATTTCTCTGTTGATTTTGTATCCTGCGACTTTGCTGAGTTTGTGTATCAGTTCTAGCAGTATTTTGGTGGAGTCTTTGGGTTTTCTATGTAGAGTATCATGTTATCTGTGAATTGTTCCTTGCTGATTTGGATGCCTTTTATTTCCTCCTTTTTTTTTTTTTTAACTAGTGAGGGAGAGAGTGGGGCAGGGTAGAGGGAGTGAGAGAGAGAGAGAGAGATTGCTAAGCAGACTCCACACCCAGCGTGGATCCTGATGTGGGGCTCAGTATCACAATCCTGAGATCATGATCTGAGCAAGAATCAGGAGTCTAGATGCTTAACCGACTGAACCACTCAGATGCCCCAGGATGCCTTTTATTTCTTTTTGTTGTCTGATTGCTAATGCTAGGACTTCTAGTACTATGTTTAACAGTGGTGAGAGTGGACATCCCTGTCTTATTCCTGACCTTAGAGGAAAAGCTCTCAGTTTTTCCCCATTGAGGATGATATTAGCTGTGGGTCTTCCATACATGACCTTTATGATGTTGAGATATCTTCTCTCTATTCCTACTTTGCTGCAGGTTTTTGTTCTGAGTATTTTCTCATCTTCCTTCTTCAGTTTTTGTTTCATTTCCCCCATTTTTGGGAGATTTCAAACATAGAAGTACAGAGGAAAGTATAACCACTCCGCAGGAATCCATCACCCAGCTTTACAGTTATCAACACATGATCAACCTTGTTTTATCTATATCTCCTTTACCCTCACTCTACTAAATTACTTTGAAACGAATCCATTTCATCTTTAAATATTTCAGTGTATATTTCTGAAAAAACAGGTATTTGTTTTAGTTAGTTTACATGGTAGTGGTAGTTGAACTGTTTTAGAAAGTTTACTAAGCACTACCTGTAGTAATCTGTCATTCAGTCTTAATATCCTCTCAGTTGCACCTTGGCTGAAGTTCTAGGATGGTTTTAGATAGTTTGTATTCAGGCAAAGAAAATGAATGACCTTTTGCTAATTATTCCTTTTCTTGACAAAATTGAAAACATTTTTTCTCTTTTCAACTAATCTAGTCAGGAGGAATAAGGAATATGTTTGAGATTCTCATAGGCTTGCAATATATAATATGAAGTCATCTGCATGTTGAGCAAGTGTAGATTTTTTTTGTAGAATCCAAATCCTTTAAATCATTAGTATAACATTTTGAGAAGTAATAAAGAGAATCAGTAAATTTTAGTATCCGTGGGGTTTGGGCCACAGAAAAAGCAAACAGTTGCTGATTATATTCACAGATATGCTAAAGAGAGCTACAGTTAAATCCACAGGGGTGAAATATTGCCTTAAGAGAAATATATATTGGGGTCAGGGAACTTCAGAATTTTGATATCACTCTTCAGTTAAAGGCTTCCATTGGGTTCTTTAAGATAATAGAGATGCTAATACAGGATATGATCAAATGTTGTTCCAATAGGGCAGATTGCATTGGGGAATTAGATGGTTGCACTGCAGTTATAGTTCTGGTTACTTTGGGGAACAGATATAATGTGGCAGGAATAAAATAGAGATAGAGATGCTAGTATCTGAGAAAAATGTATACATACTTTTCTTTGACAGGCTTTATTTAGGAGAATCTGAATTCTTCAACTGTATTTCTAAATTCTTCATAGGACTAAAGCTTAAAGGTGACAGTATTACCTTCCCTTGATGAGTTGGTGAAATTTCTAGGTGGAAATTGAGAGACAGTTATAGTTAGTAATATAGGAAGAAAAGGGGGAGAGAGAGTTTTTTGAGAGCGTGGGAGTTCAGTATCAAGAGGGTGAAGCAGTGGGATAGGAAGGAGATCAAGGAGAAGGGAGAGAAGGTGGAGGAGACATGCTAGGAAGGAAAGAACAAAGTAGATAAATTAGTGGTGTTCAGATTGTCCCATTTTTGGCCAATGGAAGCACCTCAAGTTGGTTCTGAAGTCCCTTTGTCATAACCCTAGTATTGTGGCATCCTTTCTTTTAAGTATAATAAGGTGTTTCAGGTTTATCTTGTACGTGTCCTGCCCAGACTGGGCATTACCCATTTCTGAAAAGAACCCTATTTTTTTTTTTTTTTTTTGTGGTAAATAAAATTGAGAGATTGTACTTGGGCCTTTGGGGTACTTTTTTTTTTTGAGGGAGAGAGGAAGGGGTGGAGGGATAAAGGGAGAGGAAGAAAAAGAATCCTAAGCAGGCTGTTATGTCCAGCGTGGAGCCTGATGCAGGGCTCAGTCTCAGGACCACAAGATCACGACCTGAGCGGAAATAGAGTTGGACGCCTAACGGACTGAGCCACCAAGGTGCCCCAGTGGTACTCATTTTTAATAGGTTGACATATTTTTAAGGTCTTTCCAGTGGACGGTAATAAGAAATACTTCATTTTCCTTAAGAGAGAAGCTATATAGGCTATTCTGGAAAACTTAAAATGTTTTCTTTGTTGTGTTTTTTAACTTTTCCTTACACTGAAAATCTTATTTCTTAATCCAATAATATAATTATATTTTTTGTTTACTCTTATATGTGTATACATACATATAGAAAGAACATGGTGTAGTTTCAAAATAATAATACCAATATTATTGCCATCAGGATGATTTAAGTGTTCTTGACTTTCGTTTTTGTCTTTAGTATATATTCCACTAGGAATGTATAATGTTTCTTTGTTTTAAATTCACTTGAAATTTCTGTCTGCATAGATAAACCATCAAATAGGTGTAAAATGATGTTCATTTGTTTCATTTTGCTTCTGATATTTAGAAATAACTTGTATGATTCCAAAGTCACATCTACCAGACAGAACCTTCAGAGAAATTTAGTTTCCATCCTTATCTTCTCCACCCTGTTTCTCCTCACATTGGTAACCATTTAAAAAATCAGTTTTGGAGTTATTTTTTCCATTAAAAAATATACTATGAAATAGCATGTATATGGTATTAATTCCCTCCCCACCCCCTTTCATAAATAAGGTATACTTTCTGTCTTTGGTTTTTTATTGACATTATGTCCTGAGGACCAATCTGTAGCAATAAATAGAGACATTTCTTCATTCCTTTTATAATACTCCATTTTGGGGGAGTACAACATGGTTTATTCAGTCATTCCCCCATAGGTTGTTTTCAGTCTTCTGCTATTAAAATAATGGTACCATGAGGCTGTACATATATGAAAGGAAATATTTAAACACAGTTTGAGAAAATAAAGTAATAGAAATTTGTTTTTCTTGTATTTTTAAACCTTGAGCTAAAAATTGAAGAACTGGTTCTTCTATCAAGATTGAGTAATTCAGGGGCGCCTGGGTGGCTCAGAGGGTTAAAGCCTCTGCCTTCGGCTCAGGTCATGATCCCAGAGTCCTGGGATCGAGCCCCACATCGGGCTCTCTGCTCAGAGGGAGCCTGCTTCCTCCTCTCTCTCTGCCTGCTTCTCTGCCTACTTGTGATCTCTGTCAAATAAATAAATAAAATCTTTTAAAAAAATAAGATTAAGTAGTTCATATTTTTAGATAATATTGAGAAGAGAATCTTATATCAAAGTACCTTTCTGGGGCGCCTGGGTGGCTCAGTTGGGTAAGTGTCCAACTCTTGATTTCAGCTCAGGTCATGATCTCTGGCTTGTGAGATCAAGCCCAGCCTCAGGCTCTGCAGTAGGCATAGAGCCTGCTTAAGATTCTTTTTCTTCCTCTACGTCTAGCCCTTCCTACCCCCACCCTCTAAAATAAATAAATAAACAAATAAATAAATATTTTTAAAAGTGCACCTTTCTCTCATTGCATTTCTCCCTGCCTTTTTTTGTTGTGTTAAAAAACACAACAGAATTTGTCATTTTAAAGGAATTATTAAGTATATTCACATTGTTAAGAAACAAGTCTTTAGGAATTTTTTTCCCAGAGCTTTTTCATCACATAAAACTGAAACTCTGTAAACAAATGGTTCCCCTTTTCTCCTACCTGTAGCCCTGGTAACCACTGTTCTACTTTCTGTCTCTATGAATTTGACTCATATAAATAGAAGTATACAATATTTGTCTTTTTAACTAAGATTTCATGTAGCTAAATGTCCTCAAGGTTTATCTGTGTGCCAGGATTTCCATCTTTTTTAAGTCTGAATAATATTTCATTGTATGCATATACCGCCTTTTGTTTATCCATGGACATTTTGGTAGCTTTCACTTCTTGGCTATTCTGAATAGTGGCGCTCTGAATATGAGTATGTAAATATTTCTTTGAGACCTTGCTTGCTTTTTTCTTTTTCTTTTTTTCTTTTTCCTTTTTTTTTGGATGTATACCTCCAAGTGGGATTGCTAGATCATATGGTAGTTTTTAATTTTTTGAGGAACCCTCCATGTTGCTTTCCATGGCGGTTGCACCATTTTACCGACCCACCAGCATACAAATGGTTTTCACTTTCTTCACATCCTTGCCAACACTTGTTATTTTCTGAGCTTGGTTTTGTTTTGTTTTTGGATAATGGCCATTCTGGTGGGTGTGAGGTGATACCTTATTTTAGTTTTAATTTGCATTTTTCCATAAGGAGTTTGATATGAGCATTCTTTAATGTGCTTGTTAGCCATTTGTATATCATCTTTGGAGAAAGGTCTGTTCTAGTCCTTTGCCCATTTTTTTATCCAGGTTGCAGATCCAGATTTTTTACAATAATCCAGTACTTTTACTGATAGCCAATAGAAAATATTTAACATACTCTTAAAGAGAATAATTGTGTTAGTGTAGAATGTGACTGATAGAATATGTATGAGCTAAATGTATTTTGTAATTCTTTTCTTATAAAGGGCTATTTAGAAACCAAAAGATACTAAGAGAATATAGAGACTTCCTGGGAAACACCAAGGTAAGATTATCTTTCTGATAATGTTACATGTGTATATTTTTGCACAGTGAAATTTTAGTATCAGTCCATTGTGAAATTTTAGCATGTCTGATCATAATTCAAGATTTTCTTGAGCACAGTGTAATTTACTGAATTATATAGTCTGTCTCTGTTTGGTTTTCTTGAAATTAAAAAAAACTGGGACATAATTTCTCTTTAAATTCATAACATGTTATAAACCATAAGTATATAGATACAGGTAAGGGAGAAGACTTTATTTTCTTAGGTTTTTAGTAAAATTTAACTCTTTTGTATACACCTTTAATTTCCTTTGTCCTCTCTCCTACTTCTAACCCTGATTAAATATTCAAACTGCCACTTCTGTGCTTGTACTCAAAAGTTTAGCCCTTGGACAAGAAAATTACACAGCCATTCAGATTGTTCTTACTTACTATATGAGTATGTATAAAATCAGTGGACACAATATTATTTGACAGTCTTACTGAACTTCCATAATGCGTTCAGTCTCTCACTATGTGAAACAGCTGTTGCATACTTTTCCTGTCTTCCCAAACTTCTACAGCCTTCCTCTTCAGCTGATGACCTTGCTTCATCTTTCACTGAAAAAAATAGTTGTAATCAGATAAAAGTACCTCACTTTTCATCACCAGATTTACTAACTTATCTACTATTAGAAGGAAATTAATATTGAGACCAGTATAGAAAGTTTACCTTTATCATCCTACCTCTTATTCTCTTCTGAATCCTCTTCATTTGGGCTTTCATCCCCACCAGTCCACTGAAATGGCTTTTATCAAAGTCACCAGTACCTCCAACATACCAAGTAATCATGTCCAGAGCCAACGTTGCATTTAAACTTAGTTGGGAGATATCTCCTGTCAAGAAGTGAAGGTCCTATTTGGAGAAAAGACTAGCTGTGCAGATTGTCTCCTTTCTTCTGAGTTACATTTCAGACATTGCTCCCTTTTGGCAAAGTTTTGGTTGGCAGTGATGACAACTCTAGTCATATTTTATTTGTTCTTTTCTTTTCTATTCATTGTATTCAGAACTCCTTAATTTCCATTTCCTCTCTGAGTTTTGTGTTTCTGGCATCCCATTGGTGGAATCTTTGCCCCAGGAGCCAGCCTCTTCACTGCTGCTGTGGAATAACATAGGTTGGCAAGACCTACCTCCTGGGAGAATCTGTTCCTAGGTGTTCTGTCTGTTTCCCATGAAGGTTCATTGTCACTAGATTTTTGAGAGTAGCTACTGACTTCTGAAATCAGTGTCACTAGAGGCCTTTTGAGGATTCATACTTGTCAACCTTGAAAAGTTCCAGGTTTTGAATGGAAGTTTTTAAAAAAGATTTTATTTATTTATTAGAGAGAGTGAGTGAGAGAGAGAGAGAGAGAGCACGATTAAGGGCAAAGGGAGAGGGAGACGCAGACCCCCTTGCTGAGCAGGGAGCCAGATGTGGGACTTGATCCCAGGACCCTGAGATCATGACCTGAGCCAAAGACAGACACTTAACCAACTGAGCCACCCAGGTGCCCCCTAGAATTTGTTTCTATTATACTCTTTTTTTTTTGTAGTAATAGGATAACACTTTAATTTCCCTCCACTGTTCCCATATTTCTGTAAAACACATTCAATCTCCTACTGAAGATGGTTGCTTTCCTTCTCCAGAAATATATGGGGCTAGTCCTGTTAAATACTTAATATTTTTAAATTAATTATGAAATTCTTCTGCTCCCCCCAACCTTCTGATCCACTTGTTTTTCTGTGGTATTTTTCTTTGTATTAGAGGAACTCTAGTAGTGATATATATGAACTCACTATGTTCTGGGTCTGCCAAAAGCGTTCTCTTATCAGAACAGTATCTAACTGTCTGATACCTAATTTCTCAATGTCCTTTTAATACATTTCTCCTTTAATACACTTCTCCTTTCTTGTGCCTTTCCTTAGAATTCTAATTCTGTGAAATTATTTGTGATAGTCCTTTAGAGCATTAGAAGTACCTTTATCTCCACTTGCAGTTATAATTTTGAAGTGTCAGTAGTGCTTTGAGTATTTTATGCTGATTTGCTGGTAGTCGTTTTTGAAATATTGCCGCATTTTCTGTTTTTGTTCCAATATTTTAAAAAATTATTATCAAAAATTTCAAATATATACAAAAGTAGAAAAAATATTTGATGAACCCATCTTCCAGTTTCAGTAATTCCCAGCGTGTTGGCCATTCTGCTCTCTAAGGGTCAGTTCTCCAATTGCTTTTATTATGGAATTTATGGGTGGCTTTAATAGGATGCTTCCCAAGGGTGTTGTGAATCCTGGCTCCTTGTAGATCTCTTGCTTTTCCTTGGACTTTGTCACTATTTCTGATCTAACAACCAACGTGTTTTCACCTTTTCTGTAATAATTTTTTTATCAGCTGTTTGAGCTCCGTAAATCTTTTTTTCCTTAAGACATTTTATTCTGCTTTTTAAGATCTCATTTTCCTTCCTTGTCTGTCTTATTTATCCCAAAAGTTCTTGCACCTTTCTTCTAAAGACATATTTCTCATCTTCCACTTTAAACAGCATCTTTTCATTTATCTCTCTGCATTTTTTTTTTTACTGTTCCTAAAATAATTTTTTGGAGTTTTGTTTTTCTTTATTCAGCCAAAGGACATAGCACATTCTCATTATAATAAAACAAATGTACTCTAGTTTTTATTTATTAATAAATAATAGAACTCAAAAATCTAGAGCCATGGTCAGCGTTTATAGTTTGCAAATCTAAGTTCAAGTAAAATCATATGAATAAGGTTTCTTCCTGCCTAATTCCTGGTCTTAGCTCTGGAGGCAGTTCAAAACAGAATTTGGGGGCATCTAATTGCACATTGTCAAGAGCTGGCCTTAACACTTAAAATCTAGAAGCTCCCTCTTGTGTCTGTTGTCCACAGGGAACGTAGGAGGTGCTGTTTAAAATCCTGGTCTTCAGACCTGACTACAAAACACTGTAAAAGTGAGAAGAAATTTAAATAGGCACGTTTCTCTCCTAATTCCTGATATGAAATCTCACCTCAGCTTTCTTGGCAATAACCAGCCAATTCTATAGAAATTCTATAGAATCCAAGTGTACGCTGCAGCAGCCTGACTTACAGGACCTGCAGTTTCAGTGTGGGCTATTTGTCCCTCTTCAGGGCCATTGTGGTCTGTGTGCAAGGGAACAAAACTGCCATAAGCTGTGGTGACTTACCAAGAAGTAAGTAACTCTTGCATGGCATGACCCCAGTAACAACCTGAAATCTGACTCCTTATTTGTTTTCCTCATCTGTTTCTCAGAGTTCCAGTCCATTACATTAGATCTTAAAGACTCTTCTGATCAATTTATTTATTTTTAAAGATTTATTTATTTATTTATTTGATAGGCAGAGATCACAAGTAGGCAGAGAGGCAGGCAGAGAGAGAGGAGGAAGCAGGCTCCCTGCTGAGCAGAGAGCCCAATGCGGGGCTCCATCCCAGGACCCTGAGCTCACGACCTGAGCTGAAGGCAGAGGCTTAACCCACTGAGCTATCCAGGCACCTCAAGACTCTTCTGATTTAGACTTACCCAGTAAACTGTAGACACCTCTACCTGTCTTGTCCAAATACAGAGCCACTTAGAAGAAAATGTCTACCAACTCCCAAAATAAAGGAGGGAGCTCATAAATATGCCCAGTATTCTCTTCTAAATTTACCTTACTACACTTACTTAGTCAACCCCCAGACAGCCACTGGGGAGGAGGGGAGGCCACCAGTATTGGGAGGGGGGGAAGTCTCTTCTCATGGAAATCCAAGAGGGAAGGAATGGTCAAGTGCCCGTCACCAGCAGAAGTATTCCTTTTCCTTGGAACACCTTGTTCTCTAGGAGCCTAAGACAGTCTTTCTCCTGGTTCTCCTTGGACTTCATTTAATACCTTCACTTCCTTCATCTCTTCTGAAAAAAAAACTCCTCTGCTTATTTACTCAGTCTCCAAATATTAGAGATTCATTATAGTCCCTTTTATGTTTAAATCCCATTAGCAGATCCAACTGGCATTTTCTCCAAGATAGATGCCTAGTGTAACTGCTGCTCACCATGCCTCTTATTGAAACCTTAGTCTCAACCATCACCAGCCTTTACCCGGACTACCCTCCTAATTGTTTTCTCCATCTCTGCTTTGTCCCCATAATTTGCTTCTGCTGAGCAAGGAGCCTGATGTGGGACTCGATCCGAGGACTCCAGGATCATGACCTGAGCCAAAAGCAGATGCTTAACTGACTGAACTGCCCAGACATCCCTATTCTCTGCATTTTAAGCTATGTCTTTGTAAAACCCAAATTAGACTATACCAAATATCTGCTTAAAATCATGTGGTGCCTTCTTTTTGCCAGTAGAATAAGAGTTATACTCCTTACCATAGTTTCCAAAATCCTGTGGAATATGGTCCTTGCCTCCTTCTCTGTCCTCAACCCTTACCTTTTTCCTTGCTTTCTATGCTCTTAGTCACATCAAGCTTATTTTGTCCTTTCCACACACCAAGCTTATTTCTTTCCACGTCTTTAAATGTCCTGTGTGTATACTCTGCCTGAAACCATTCTTCAGATTTTTTCATGGTTGCTGCCTTCTCATCTTTGAACCTCTTTCATACTCTTGCTAAAATAACCCTTTCCACATACACCCTCCCCCCATACATGATCTTCTCCGTTCTGTTTTATTTTCTTCATTATGTTTATTCTTATCTGATGTTATGTATTTGTTTATTTATTCTCTATCTTCCTGGACTCAATTTTGAGATCAATGAAGGCAGGACTCTTGTTTACTGTCAGGTCCCAGCATCTAGAATTGTGCCAGGCATGTAGTAGTTGCACAATAAATATTTCTTGAATAAATGACATAAGGCAGACTATATGAAGTGCTTTAATAGAAATGTAAAGTTCAATAATAAATGTGCAGCAGAGTGAGTATTCTCTGTGATGGACCAAAAATGGCTTTTTTTTTTTTTTTTAAGATTTTATTTATTTATTTGACACACAGAGAGAGATCACAAGTAGGCAGAGAGGCAGGCAGAGAGAGAGGAAGAAGCAGGCTCCCTGCCGAGCAGAGAGCCCGATGCGGGGCTCGATCCCAGGACCCTGGGATCATGACCTGAGCTGAAGGCAGAGGCTTTAACCTACTGAGCCACCCAGGCGCCCCCAAAAATGGCTTTAAATAGAAAAGTGCCAGTTGGCCTAACATGGAATGGGATGAGTAAAAGCTAGACAAATTGTGGTAGAAGATGATGCTGGCATTCCAGGGAGAGGGCAGAGCAGGAGAAAAAACAAAGTATACATTGAAGGAACAGTGAAACTACATTTAACTCTAGATAAATAGCTTTCTTTACTTGGTTTGTTTCTTTTGTTTTGGTCTGTTTTGGAATTCAACATTATCACTTGAGGTCTTTGGTATTTAGAGAGTAATAAGGAGTTAAATTGGAGAAGCAAACTTGGCTTTGACTGTTCCTTAAAAGTTAAGTTGCTCAAGAAGTGGAAAAATTGTAGAGTGTATCAATTTTAGTTCAATACATTTTTGTCATTTTATGCCTAGTTTCTGTGAAACCACCGCAGATCTTTCCTGGCAACAGGCAGGAAATTACTTACAAAGAGACAAACAGTTAAGTTTTTGGAAAGAGATTCACATATGCTCTCAATTTCTATCTTCTCACTTTTTAACATACAGATTCTAGAGAAAAGGAAGCAAATAACTAAATCTAGATGTTTAGAGGGTTTGATAGAGGACATATTTTCTGGTGTGTCAGATCACTTATAAGCATCAAACTGTTCTCTGGAAATTTTAGAGATTTTTTTTGTGTGTTTTGTCTGTTTTTTATAGCCACGGTCCAGAACGACATCAGTTTTTTTTAAAGGGCCAGGAAAAGTGGTGATGGTTGCCATTTGCATGTAAGTACCACTTAAAATAAAAATGTATTATTTTTAATGTGTGTATCTATGAATGTAAAAATTTATTACTTGGCGTTTAGGTGAAGAGTTAGATGTTTATGTTATTATAGAAGGAAGTTGAATGAACCCTTTTTTTTTTTTTAAGATTTTATTTATTTATTTGTTTGTTTATTTATTTGACACAGAGAGAGAGAGAGCAGGGAGCCCAATACGGGGCTCGATCCCAGGACCCTGGGATCATGACCTGAGCCGAAGGCAGACACTTAACAACAGAGCCACCCAGGCACCTCTGAATGAACCTTTTTTAATTGTTGTCAGTACAGTGTTGAAGGAAGAGTCCACATAGATATCCATGCTTGTGCTGGGTCTGTTTTTGGAGTAGTTAGGATCTAAGAATAGTTGCTCTCTGAAAATTCTTTTATTTTCATTGGAGTTGATAGAAGTCTTTTTTAGAAAGGTGAATTGGCTGAGATCATTTTTTGAGTAAACAAGCCTGGGTCATATCTACTGAACAATATTTACATTCTTGTTTTGCCCCATTTATCTTGGAAGAACATAACTGATATTTGTGCCTCTTTTTTTTCCTTCTGTCTTCTTGATTCCTATTGTTATCTTTTTTCTCTTTTGCTGATTAATCTATTTTAGGATATTTAAAAGTATTAATTCCGTAATTTATTAGTTTGTTTATTTCTAAAATATATACATATGACATGCCAGGAATTGTGGTAGGGTCTTGAAATACAAAGACAGAATTCATAATTCTCGTCTTTAAGGATTGGAGGGGCACTAGACTGGAGGACATCATGTACAGTAATGCAGAGAGGAGACGATGATGCACTAAACTGAGATAATGAAAGTAGGGATGGAAAGGCATGTTTAGGTCCAAGAAATATTTAGGAGGTATGGTCAAGGATGGTGCCCAGGCTTCTGATTTGGACAGTTGGATAGCTATGGCATCATCACTGAGAGAAGGAGCACTTGAAGGAGGGGCAGGGTGGCAGAAAAGGAAATGATGAGCTTAGTTTTGAGTTTAATGATCTACCTGTAGGGCACCCAAGTGGAGTTGGTCAACAGCATTAGTTCTTCTCATCAGTAATGTGAGGTTAGCAATTAAAACTTTCTTCATTGGAAGAATGTATGTAATATATGTAAACTGCTTAGTGTGATACCCAGTACGTAATAGGTACTTAATAATTTTTGATATATGTTGGTCTGAAGCTCACAAAGGAAAGCTGAATTAGGGACTTAGAGTTGAGAGTTACTGATATAGAGATGATAATTAAAGCCATAGGAGTAATTAAAGATCACCTGGAGAATGTGTATGAAGTGTGTGGAAGAAAAATCCCTCAGGAGGAAACCCTGAAGAATGTGAACATCTGTGAAATGGGTAGAGGAAAGAGCCTGCAGAGGAGACTGAAGAAGAGGAACGAGCAAGCAAGAAAGGAAAGCAAACCTGGAATGAAAGAAAATCAGGGATATCATGGATGCCAAGGAAGACAGTCTTCTAAGAAAATAGTGGCATATGCTTCTGGGGGATTAAGGAAAATACTAAAGTATTTTCAGGAATTTAGTGGCAAGAAACAGTTGTGGTATTGATAATAATCAAGGTATCTGAAACATAAGCCATTGTTAAATGGACCGAAGACTTAATGCAAAATGTGGAAAATGAAGACAGCAAGAGGAGATACAATCCTTTCAAAAAATTATTTGAAGTAGAAAGGAAGGGAAAGGGTAGCTGGAAGGGGATGTACAGTTTCCTTATTTATACAATGAGGATATTAATATTTATATAATAGTGTTACAGTAAAACATGGTAAGTGGCTAAGTGTAGTGCCCGAGATAAATGGCGCCAGTCATTACTGTTGGAATCTGAACAGCTAGCTGTTTATTTTTAGCATCTATTATCTTCTAGTGTGACTCTGAGACTGCTTGGTCTAGATTTGTTTTCACCTCTGGCATATGGCACCTTCACATTTGGCCTGTTTAAGTAACTAGACTTTCACCGAAGTCTTGGTTTTGTCGTTAGTATGCTGGACAATATCAAGTGTAGATCTCTTTCACCTACATAAGACACTTAATTTCCTTCCTAACTTTACTTCATCCAAATATAAAACATTCTCTTCTCATCAGTTCTCAAAATACACTTAAGTAATTTGTTTACAAATATCATGTTTCTTCATTGGAATATTTAATGATATCATAATCTGTATTTTTCAAATTTATTCTCTTGTTACCTAAAGTATAATAAATTCTTAAAGGTTAGAGATTCTTTTTAATTTATTTGGAACAGAATCTAGTATAGAGGTTTATGTACTCAAATAAGCTTTTGGTAGAAATTTTTATCAAAACCTATGCTAAATTGTTTTATCTTTCCCTCCTAGCAATGGATTAAACTGCTTCTTTAAATTTCTTGCCTGGATTTATACGGGTTCAGCAAGTATGTTCTCTGAAGCTATACACTCTTTATCTGATACTTGTAATCAGGTAAGGTGTAAAAGTTTTTTTTCTTGTTAATTTTAAAGTAAATTTTTTTTAAGGCTTTAGTCTGAAAGTTGACCTATTTAAAAACAGAATGATTCCTATAGTTGGCTTGAGGAATAAAGTGAAAGTTTTTTTTACTTTTGATGGTGAAGTACATAGAAATTTGATCATAGTATTTTATTATTATTTTTTAAATCAAGGATCTTCTTTATTACTTTTGTTTTTAAGAGAGAAAATGAGTAGGTAAGGAGTGGGGCAGAGGGAGAGAGAGAAACTCAAGCAGGCTCCGCACCCAGTATGGAGCCCAATGCAGGGCTAGATCTCATAACCCTGAGATCATTACCTGAGCTGAAATCAAGAGTCAGATGCTTAACTGACTAAACCACCCAGGTGCCCCGATCAGATTTTAAAGCAGGTTGTTATGCTTTAAGAACTTACAACAATGGAATATGAAGTATAAGATTATTAGTACTAAGTGTTGGGCAAAGGTTTCTGTAGAAGAGATTCTTATCATTAGGTAGAAATTTGGTCTCTGAATATGACTTCTTAGGACTATAAGGACCAATTAAATTTTTTGAATAAAGCTCTAAAATAATTGGGGCACCTGGGTGGCTCAGTGGGTTAAGTATCTGACTCTTGATTTTGGCTAAGGTTGTGATCTCAGGGTCTTGGGATCGAGCCCCACACTGGGCTCCATGCTCAGTGTGGGGTCTGCTTGTCCCTCTCCCTTTGCTCCTCCTCTGCACTCATGTTCTCATATGCATGCATGCTCTCTCTCTCTCAAATAAAGAAATAAAGTCTTAAAAAAATAAAGCTATAAAATAATCACAAGTGATTAATGAATTAAAGTGATTTCACATTAGACTGGTTTTTTCTTTAGATTTTATTTATTAGAGACAGAGAGAGAATGAGCAGCAGGAGGGCCAGAGGGAGGAGGGGCAGAACCTCAAACAGACCTTCTGCTGAGCATGGAACCTGATGCTCACAATCTTGAGCATCTCACAATCTTGATCACAGTTCCCATCTCACAAGGCTTGGTCTCACAAACTTGAGGTCATGACCTGAGCTGAAATTAAGAGTTGGATGCTTAACCGACTGAGCCACCCAGGGGCCCATAAACTGGGATTTTTAATTCCTTTCCTTGAATGTGCAAATGAAGAAAGATTTTTATAAAATTAAGAACAAAAAACAAAACCCAAAGTCAGCAGAAGGAAGGGAATAATAAAGATTAGAGCAGAAATAAATGGTATAGAAACTAGAAAAGCAATAGATCAATGAAACCAGGAGCTGGTCCCCCCCACCCCCCATGAGAGCATGCGTGCCATGCATAGACAGTGGGGGAGAGAGAATTTTAAGCAGACTCCACTGTTACCGTGGAGCTCCACATGGGACTTGATCTTACAACCCTGATATCATGACCTGAGTCAAAATCAAGAGTCAGATGCTTCACCAACTGAGCCACCCAGCTTTCCTGAGGAACTGATTCTTTGGAAAAAAAATTAACAAAATTGATAAGCCTCTAGCTAGATTGATCAAGAAAAAAAGGACTCAAAAATCACAAATGAGAGAGAAATAACCAGTATCACAGAAATTCAAAAGACTGTCAGAATATTATGAAAAATTATATGCCAACAAATTGGATAACCTAGAAGAAATGGATAAATTAACCTACCAAAACTAAAGCAGGAAGAAATAGAAAATTTGAACATACTGATGTTGAATCAGTAATCAAAAACTCCAGGATTGCTTGGGTGGTTCAGATGATTAAGTGTCTGCCTTTGGCTCAGGACATGATCTCCAGGTCCTGGGATTAAGCCCCTCATCTGGCCCCCGGGGGGGCGGGGGGGAGTCTGCTTCTCCCTCTGCCTCTCTGCCCTGCTCGTGCTCTCTCTCTCTCTCTCAAATGAATAAATAAGATCTTGGGGGGAAAAAACCTCCCAACAAACAAAAGTGCAGGGCCAGATGGCTTCACAGGTGAATTCTACCAAACATCTAAAGAAGAGTTAATAGCTATTCTTCTGAAACTATCCCAAAAAATAGAAGAAGGAAAACTTCCAAATCTATTCTCTGAGGCCAGCATTACCCTGATACCAAAAACAAATAAAGATACCACCAAAAAAGAGAACTACAGTCCAAACCTCTAATGACATAGATGCAAAAATCCTCAACAAAATACTAGCAAACCAAATCCAACCATACATTAAAATAATCATTCACCACAGTCAAGTGGGTTTTATTCCTGGATTTCCAGGTTGGTTCAGTATTCCCAAATCAATCAGTGTGATACATTACACCAATAAGAGAAAGGATAAGAACCATATGATCCTTTCAATAGATGGGGGAAAAGCACGTAGTAAAGTAAAACATCCATTCATAATAAAAACCCTCAACAAAGTAGGTTTAGAGGGAACATACATCAACAAATAAAGGACTTACATGAAAAACTCACAGGAAACATCATAATCAATGGGGAAATACTGAGAGCTTTTTCCCTAGGTCAGACACAAGACAAGGATGTCCACTCTCACCACTTTTATTCAACATAGTACTGGAAGTCCTAGCCACAACAATCAAACAACAGAAAGAAATAAAGGGCATCCAAATAGATAAGGAAGAAGCAAAACTTTCACTGTTTGCAGATGACATGATATATATGGAAAATCCTAAAGACTCCACCAAGAAACTACTAGAGCTGATAAGTGAATTAAATCAGATCTCAGGATACAAAATCACCATACAGAAATCTGTTGCAGTTCTATATACTAATAACGAAGCAGCAGAAAGAGAAATTAAGAAAACAATCACATTTACAATTGTACCAAAAATAATAAAATCTGTAGGAATAAACTTAGCCAAAGAGGTGAAAGACCTGTACTCTGAAAACTGTAAAATACTGATGAAAGAAATTTAAGAAGATGTAAAGAAATGGAAAGACATTCCATGCTCATGATCGGAAGAGCAAAATATTGTTAAAATGTCTGTATTACCCAAAGCAATCTACAAATTTAAATGCAGTCCCTATCAAAATACCAACATTTTTCACCAAATTAGAACAAAACCTAAAATTTTTGTGGAACCACAGAACACCCCGAATAGCCAAAACAATCTTGAAAAAGAAAACCTAAGCTGGTGGTATCACAATTCCAGGCTTCAAGTTATATTACAAAGCCATATTAATCAAAACAGTATGTCACTGGCACAAAAATAGACACATAGATTAGTGGAACAGATTAGAAAACCCAGAAATAAACCCACAATTATAGTCAATTAATCTTTGACAAAGCAGGGAAGACTATCTAGTGGGAAAAAGTATCTTCCATAAATGGTGTTGGGAAAACTGGACAACTACATGCAAAAGAATGAAACTAGACAGCTTTCTTACACTATACACAAAAATAAATGCAAAATGCATTAAAGAAGTAAATATGATACCTGAAACCATAAAAATCCAGAAGAGAACAGAGGCAGTAATTTCTCTGACAAAGTATTGAGACTACATCAAAATAAAAAGCTTTTGCACAGTAAAGGAAGCAGTCGACAAGACTGAAAGGCAATCTGTTGAGTGGGAGAAGATATTTGCAAATGACATTTCTGATAAAGGGTTGGTCTCCAAAATATATAAAGAACTGATACAACTCCACACTCCCCAAAACAAAGAATCCGATTAAAAAATGGGCAGGAGACATAAACAGATATTTCTCCGAAGAAAATATGTAGATGGCCAGCAGACACATGAGAAGATGCTAAGCATCACTCCTTATCAGGGAAATGCAGATCAAAACTGCAATGAGATACTACCTCACACCTGTCAGAATGGTTAACATCAAAAACACAAACACCATTGTTGACAAGGATGTGGAGAAAAAGGAATGCTTGTGTACTGTTGGAGTGCAAACTGGTGTAGTCACTATGGAAGACAGCATGGCGTTTCCTCAAAAAGTTAAAAATGGAATTACCCTATAATCCAGTAGTCGCACTGCTGTGTATTATCCAAAAAATACAAGAACACAGGGGCATCTGGGTGGCTCATTCCATTCAGTGTCTGCCTTCGTCTTAGGTCATGATCCCAGGATGCTGGGATCAAGGCTCTCTCTCTGTGTCGAATAAAAAAATAAAATCTTCAAAAAAAATACAAGAACACAAATTCAAAGGGATACATGCACCCCTCTGTTTGTAGCAGCATTATTTACAATAGCCAAGATATGGGAGCAGCCCAAGTGTCCATCAGTAGATGAATGGCTAAGAAGTTGTGGGGGATATATACATATATATTTGGGATATTATTTGCCATAAAAAGATTGCAGTCTTGCCATTTCCAACAACATGATTGTAGCTAGAGAGTATAAAATCAGTCAGAGAAAGACAAATGCCATATGATTTCATTCATGTGTAGAATTTAAAAAACAAATGAGCAAAGGGGGAAAAGAGACACAAACTAAGAAACAGACTCTTAACTAATAGTTGAATAGTTGGATATATAGTTGGCTGTATATGTAGTTGGATATATACCAGAAGGGAGGTGGATGGGGGATGGGTGTAATAGGTGATAGGGATTAAGGAGGGCACTTACGATGAACACTGGGTCATGTATGGAAGTGTTGATGCACTGTATTGTATCCCTGAAATTAACCCTGTCTAATAACTCTACTAGAAGTAAAATAAAAACAATTTTAAAAATTCAGCAAATGGTTGTCTCTGATGTTGGGAGAGATTGACTGAAAAGAGGTACAGGAGAATTTTCTGAGGTGATTGAAAAGTTCTGTGTCTTGATGAGAAAGTATGTTACAAGGGTATTGATTTGCCAAACCTTTAAGAACTGTATATTCAGGATTCTTGCATTTCATTGTGCGTGAATTTTACCACAAATTTAGAATTTCCATATGTGGAAATGTGATTACTGAGCGTATATTTTAAAATGTTAAGAAATTAGTATTAATATTTAAAAGTATGATAATAGTCTTGTGTCTGAATTTCCTAAAATGCCTTAGAGTTTTAGTCACTCAGGTAAAATATTTAAAGATGAAATGGCATGAAGCTTCCAATTTACTTAAATATTCATGGGGGGAGTGGGTATGGATCAGAGAAAACAGATGTGTTACATATTTACAATTATTAAAGCTAAGCAATGGATGAGTTGGATTTATTGAAATGTTCTTTTGGGTTTTTAAAAAATTTTTACCCATCTCTCTGTATGTTGACAGTTTCCATAATATAAAGTGCAAAAAGACGTGATGTAGATTGTGATCATCTTTTTTTAAGCACACACACACCCCTCCCTGAAATCTGGCACAAATATATTCACAAAAGCAACATTAACAAACTGTTTACAAGTGCGTATGAAGATAGTCTGAAATATCCGTCAGACTCTTAAATGATTCCCTCTCCTGTCCTATTTGATTTCTTTACAATGAGAATGCTAGTGTTCTAACTAGAAAAACAAATTAATTTCTGTAATAGATCGAGCGGCAACAGAGGTAAATAAGCGCTAAAGTCACATGGTGTTGGTGCTTTGAGAACCCTTGGTAAAGAGTTTTGTCTTGATTAAAGTGGTCGGAATGGCTTTGATGAAAAAGATTGCAACAGGGCCTTACTGAGTAGATGGAAATTGTATTTCTTAGGGTCTTTTGAAAACTATCTTAGGGGCCTTCGGATGGATCAGTTGGTTAAGCATCTGACTCTTGATTTTGTCATAGGTCATGGTCTCAGGGTTGTGAGATCGAGCCCCACATTGGGTTCTGCACTGGGTTTGGAGCCTACTAACAAAACAAAATAAAACTATTTTAGAAGTATAATAATATTTTTAAAAATTAATTCTAAAGAACTCCTACAACTCCATAGTAAAAGTCCTGATTAAAAAATGGGCAGAAGATCTGAATATTTTTCCAACTAAGACATAGAAATGGCCAAAAAAGTACATGAAAAGGTGCTCAGCATCACTAATCATCAAGGAAATGCAAATCAGAACCACGATGAGCTATCACCTCACACCAGTTAGAAGGACTTATCAAAAGATAAGAAATAACAAGGGTTGGCAAGCATGTAGGGAGAAGGAAGCCCTTGTGTGCTGTTGATGGGAATGTAAATTGGTACAGATGCTATAAAAAATAGTATGGAGGTTCATTAAAAAAAAAATACTGAACTACCAAATGATCCAGCAGTTCCACTTCTGGAATTCTTATCTAAAAGGAAACAAAACACTATGAAAAGATATCTGCACCCTCATGCTCAATGCAGCATTATTTACAACAGCCAAGACTTGGAAACAGCCTAAATGTCGATTTTGATAGATGAATGGATTAAAAAAATGTATATATGTGTACACACACACACACGGATATTATTCAGCCATAAGAAAAAAAAAAAGGAAATCCTGCCATGGATGGACTGTGAGGGCATTATGCTAAGTGAAATAAAGTCAGAGATAGATACTGAATGATCTCATTTATATGTGGAATAAAATAAAAATACCCCCAACTTACAGAAAACAGGTTGGTGGTTGCCAGAGACGGGGTAAGTAGGGGTGGGTGAGATGGGTGAAGGTGGTCAAAAGGTACAAACTTTCAGTTACTAAAAAATTAATTTGTTTGAATATTTTTATAACTATAGTGTTTTATTTTTCTTTACCTCTGAGAGACTAAACGACCTCAAGTTTTAGATTTAAACCTATGTCTCTAGTGATACCTAGGTTGGCAACTTCTGTGGCGGCTCATTTTTTAAAACTTTATTGCTAAATAATATATGGTACATCACTAATATTAATTGATATGAACTTATTGAGCACCTGAGTTTATAATGTAGTATTTAGGAGAAATTAGACTTTGTCTTCTGTAAGGAGGTCAAAACAACTAGAAAGATAGTGCAAGGTAACATTTAAGCAGTTGCATGATAGTATGATACTTAAGGAAAAATCAAAAAAGGGAAGGATAATCATGGAGGGGGAAGCATTTATAATGCTTCTTAGCCAGTAGATATTAATATTCATTATGTTGCAAACCAAACAGATGTAGGTTATATTTACATAACTGATATGTATATATCTCTCTCTATATATTAGTGTGTATATTTATTTATGTATACACACACACATTGTAATTGTGCAGATAAAGGTCTGAAATCTATCTCATTCTACTCCTACCCCTGTGGGGAGTGAGGCGGACAGGATTAGGGATGTTCTGTGACATCTTATTTTTATAGGAAAAACTAACAAGTTTGGTCCACATTTCAGTTTATGAAAAACTTGTTATCCTACACTTCATTGCATGGCCAACCTGAATATTAAGGACTTTAGAAATAATGAATACCCATCGGCTATTCTGTAAGCATTATAAACACATGCATATATATATACAGTGTGAATTAATGAATATTTCAATTTAATTTACAAGTTTAAAAGAATTCTATGTTAATTTGCTCTCATTTCTTGGTTTGATTCACTGAAAAGCCATCATCTTTTAGGTAGTTTTAACCCTCTTTTTCTTTGAAATCCAATAGAAAAAAACTTGTAATGCTCTGTGTATTTAGGGTAGGATTTCCGATAACAAAACTTAAAAGTCCAATCATGTATTTGTTTTAGCCATTTCAAGGTGGTGTAATCTCTGTGTATTTTTACTAGAGAGAATGTTTCTGTTAAGGTGTTTGTTTCTTTGTTTTTCCCAAGATTTTTATTTATTTGACAGATCATGAGAGCAGGAACACAAGCAGGGGGAATGGGAGAGGGAAAGCAGGCTTCCTGCAGAGCAGGGAGCCCGATGTGGGGCTCGGTCCTAGGACCCTGGGATCATGACCTGAGTCGAAGGGCAGACGCTTAAGGACTGAGCCACCCAGGTGCCTCTCTGTCAAGTTTTTTGTAACCTACAGGGAAACCTCATCTATGAAACCTTATCTTGAAGCTTTACCTGTCTGATTATTTGATACCGTGCTGACAAAATGGAAAAGCCCCAGATTAGGCAAATAATATCATGTAGGATATTCACTCAGAGGCCTTCTGTTTTAAATAAATAATTCTAGTAAGATAATCTTTTTATCTAAATTCACATCAAATTAGAATAGAAAGGAGTGGGCGCCTGGGTGGCTCAGTGGGTTAAAGCCTCTGCCTTCCGCCTAGGTCATGGTTGCAGGGTCCTGGGATGGAGGCCCGCATCTGGCTGTCTGCTCATCGGGAAGCCTGCTTCCCTTCCTCTCTCTGCCTGCCTCTCCGCCTACTTGTGATATCTTTCTGTCAAATAAATAAATAAAAATCTTAAAAAAAAAAAGAATAGAAAGGACTTACTAGGAACAAGCATACTAATATCAGGAGTTTCCAGTGGATAACTCTTTTTTAACAAAAGATGCAATTGAAAAGCCAAATAAAGAGAGAAAGGAAGAAAAGATCAAGTTCAGGGAGGATGGAAGGAAGGAGAGAGAGGTGGTAACTAGGATTAAAGACATGGTATTTTTGACATATTTACTTTGTTTTTGTTTTTTTTAAAGAAATAAAATCTTAGTTGTAATTAACCCTACATCTTTATTCCCTCTTTCTATGCCCCAGTAATCACTGCTCTGTATATATTGATATATGTACTTCCTATGCATGGCTTTGAAGTTTTAGTAGAAATGTGTGTATCTGTATACAATGTATGGTATTTAAAATTTTTACCATCTTTTGTTTGTTTAGCAATATGTTATTTTTCCTATAAAAATACCAGCTATCACCTACTATCGTAATCCTGCTTCTCTCCTCAGAGGTATAAACAGTTGAATGTGTATTCTTTTAGAACTTTTCCTGTGCCTTACATTATATGTTGTCTACAAAAATGACGTAAGTTTTTTTGTACTTTACATACTGTTCCTAAACTTGATTTTTTTTTTTCTTCCACTTTAATGGTATGTGTAGGAGCTTTTACCGGGTCAGTGCAGAAAGCTGTGTCTCCACTCCATTCTTTTAAACTGGTGGAGAAGTAACTGTGGTTTGGCAACACCATAATTTATTTTGCCATTCCTTATTGATGGATTTTTAGGTTTGCTTTCACGTTTTTCTTCTTTATAAGCAATGGTGTTTTGAACCCCTCAGGGTTAATCTTTATTTCTCCAAGGTAAAGACTAAAACTGGAATTGCTGGGCTGTTGTGTAAGTGCATGTGAATTAGTTCTTTGCCATTGTCAGATTGCACATTCCAGATTGGTTCTACTATACTCTCCATCTTGCTAATAATTATTTACCCTTTCTTCTTCTCCATAGGGTTTGCTAGCAGTGGGCATCAGTAAGTCTGTTCAAACACCAGATCCTACTCATCCGTAAGGACATTGCCTTTATTTTATTTTATTTTTGGCAGCAAGTCATTGAAATACAAGCAGTTGAATTTTAGAAGTCTCCTGCAGTTTATATATCTGCATTTTTGTGTTAAGGATTTGGTCATTTCTTTCACTGTAGTATCTAAGATACAGGATTCAACCACAATGTCAAAATAAACTCAAGATATAATTTGAAACTTGTTTTTAAATTATATTTTTGCTTTGTAACAACATAGAGATCTTGTCCTCTTCATATTTGATAATTAATAGAAAAGCACAAATTTTGATCTTAGAGTTTTATTCTACATTTAGACTAAGAGGCACTGAATCTAAAATTTTAGTGATAACCAGATGCCTGGGTTGCTCAGTCTGTTAAGCGGCTGCCTTCAGCTCAGGTTATGATCCCAGGGTCCTGGGATCAAATCCCACATTGGGCACGCTGCTCAGTGGAGAGCCTGCTTCTCCCTCTCCCTCTGCCTACTGCTCTGCCTACTTGTGCTGTCTGTCAAATAAATAAAATCTTAAAAAAAATAAAAATAGGGACGCCTGGGTGGCTCAGTTGGTTGGGCGGCTGCCTTCAGCTCAGGTCATGATCCCAGTGTTCTGGGATCAAGTCCCACATCCGGCTCCTTGCTCAGCAGGGAGCCTGCTTCTCCCTCTGCCTCTGCCTGCCTCTCTGTCTGCCTGTGCTCTCTCTCTCTCTCTCTCTAACAAATAAATAAATAAAATTAAAAAATTAAATAAAAATAAAAATAAAATTTTAGTGAAAACTTTTATGAAATCCATGTTTAATGTATTTTAATTCTGTTGGGACTTAGTATTCTGCTAACATTTCAAAATTGTTTATTTGTAAAATGAGTATTCTTTTATATTGAGTCACATCAGTTATTTGAGAGATATATATATATATATATATATATATATATATATTTTTTTTTTTTTTTAACTAACATAACCCCTAATCCTTTTTTTTTTTTTTTAAAGATTTTATTTAGTTATTTGACAGAGAGAGATACAGCAAGAGAGGGAAGACAAGCAGGGGGAGTGGGAGAGGGAGAAGCAGACTTCTCGCTGAGCAGGGAGCCTGATTCGGGGCTCTGTCCCAGGACCCTGGATCATGACCTGAGCCGAGGGCAGATGCCTAATGACTGACCCACCCAGGTGCTCCCATAATACTTTAGAATTCCTCATGTATCATTTATTTAACAAGTTTCAGTAATAAAATTTGATCCACCTTAGGTCAAAATAATGTACTTTTATTTCTGTAAAGGAGTCTACCTCTGTGCTTTATATAAATGCCTTTTGTTTGTTTGTTTTTTAAAGATTTTATTTATTTATTTGACAGACAGAGATTACAAGCAGGCAGAGAGGCAGGCAGAGAGAGAGAGGAGGAAGCAGGCTCTCCACGGAGCAGAGAGCCTGATGTGGGGCTCGATCCCTGGACCCTGGGATTATGACCTGACCCAAAGGCAGAGGCTTTAACCCACTGAACCACCCCGGCGCCCTTAAATGCCATTTTTTACTCAAAAGCAAGACACTACTTTTTTTTTTTTTTTTTTAAAGAATTTATTTATTTGTCAGAGAGCAGAAGCACGGAGAGCTGCAGGCGGAGGAGGCAGAGGGAGAAGCAGGCTCCCTGCTGAGCAAGGAGCCCAATGTGGGACTCCATCCCACATTCTGGGGTCATGACCTGAGCCAAAGGCAGACGCTTAACCAACTGAGCCACCCAGGCATCTCAAGACACTACTGTTTTTTTATAAACAGTAGTGTATTTTTAATATCTTAGTAAATAGTTACAGAGAACAACTAGTTTTCTTATCTACTAATTAACATCATTATAGTATTTTACTGGGTCAAGAAAAGAATTTTTTTCTGATTAGTTTTATACACCAAAATTTTAAAAACAGGATAAAATTTTATAGTTTTAGGTTGTGAAGATTTCTTTTTAAGGTATTTTCAACAATCTACTTAGTGCTGCTCAATAGAATTTTCTATAGTGATAGAAGTATTTTATATCTCTCCAGTATGATAGTCAGTAGCTACATGTGGCTGTTGAGCATTTGAAATGTGGCTAGTGTAAACAACTGCATTTCAATTTTTATTGTTTAACTTAAATTTAAATAGCATTATGTGGCTGATGACTAATATGGGATGATGAAGATCTACATAGTTAAAATTTTCAGTAAGAACCTACAATTTTTTGAAAACATAGAGAAGGAAAGTAATAGGACTTAATTTAGATCTTAATTTACTTTAACTGAAATAAATATAAATATATATATACTATATTACTTTGGGGGAACATTTAGAGAAAGTAAGTTTTTCTAAATCAAGCAGTAGAACATTTTCACATCTATAAACTGAGAATTCCCTATGGCAAGATTACTACATATTTGCAAAAATAATTTTAAAAAGCAGTTTTAATTAAGACCTGTTGTTTAAATTTGCATCTGCCAGAAGGGTGCCATAGAGTTTGGCTTTGGGAGAAATTTCCCAGGAAATATTTTTATTAATGAGTGACTGCTTTCCTCATAAAGTATGTCATGTTTTTGAGCTTCTTAAAACTCAGTATTTTATTGATACATACAATAATAGAAGATAATACACATATTGACCAAAGATTCTTAAAAAATAAATGAGACTTTTTTAAAAAAAACTTGCCATAAAAACACCCAGAAAACTGAAGCTCATAGTCCTAATAATAATAGTTAGAAGTTAATAGTGTGCTAAACTCTTCAGAACCAGCCCCAGGTATCCAACATCTAATTATAGGCAAGAAGACCAAATGTTCAGTTAGAAACTGTATTACAGGGTAATTTAAATGTCATCCTCTCCATTAAACACCTGAATGCATTTTTAAAAAGATTAATTTTATCAGTATTTGTACATAATAATAAATTGACTGTATTTAATCAATACATACTATATGGAAAAGGGATTAACAAATACCTGAATTCAGTTATATTCACTCTGTTTTTCTATATTTTCAAAGATCTTGCAGGTTTTTTTGCCTTTATATGTTATTTTCTGATTGAAGTTACATTTTAACTTTGATACTTTGATTAATTAATTTTAATAAATTCAAAATAAATTTAATTTAATAATAAATTAATAATAATTTAATAAATAATTTAATATAATAATATATAATAATATAATGCATAATAATATTAAAATAATTTAATAAATAATTTAATAATTTGATAGATTCAAAATAAATTTTGATTAATTAATATTAAATAATATAACTGATACACTTATTTTAATATAAAACCATAAACATCTTTATAAGAAATTTTTGATTTTCTTTTTCATTGACTTATTCAACATATATTGTAAAATGATTTGTATTTCTTGTAAAGTGTACAATTTTTTTCTATTTTTCAGGTATGGATTTTCAAATATGCGCTATATTGCTTCGCTAATTAGTGGTGTTGGTATTTTCATGATGGGTGCAGGATTATCTTGGTACCACGGAATCATGGGATTGCTTAATCCTCAACCAATGGAATCCCTTCTATGGGTAATCTTTTTTCCCCCTCAGTTTTCAAGTAATATAAGTATGGGAGAATGCCTTTGTCATATTGATGTTAAAGAAAGGGACTAACATATGCCTTTTTTACTGTAATGGTTATGTGTCTGTAGTTGTGTTTTTTAGAACATGAGTACACATGACCTCTAAATTCATACGGTTCAATGATGTTGAACAAGAGTATCTCTATAGGTACAGGGGCACTTGGCTGGCTTAGTTGGTGGAGTGTGCAACTGTTGATCTCTGGGTTGTGGGTTCAAGCTCCACGTTGGGTATAGAGATTATGTAAAAATAAAATCTTAAAAAAAGAGTAACTCTTTATGTACAATCATTAAGTACTGACTCCTGGCTAAAATCTTGGGCAGTTCCATTAATTTCTTAAATTATATTGAAAAACGAGAAGATCTCTGTTCATTTTTAGTCCCAAGAATAATCTGTCAGGATTTAAAACATCCAGTGCCACAAGATAGTCTTAAGTTGGAATTGTTGTATTTAAAGATGTTTTTTCCACTCACGTAGGTAGGAAGCTTGTACTGGGGGAATGGGAGGATGGGAGCATGGTCACCTAGATTTTCCCAGCTAGGGCTTCTGCCCTTCTGTCTTACTCCTTAGCTTGCCTCTGGCAGCATCAAAGGTAGGGACAGAAGACAGAAAAGTACTACTTTACCGGCACCAGCATCATTTTGCATTGGTTTCCTCTGGCCTTTGTGGATGCTTAGAGCTGCCTTTTTCTCTCATGGAAACTTCTTGGAGATTACCCTGCGTGGCCATTCTGACTCTAGTTCCCTTGACAAGCACAGATTGGTCATGTGACACCCCCTCTTAGCTTCTGCTTCTTAGGATGTAGTTCCAGACTCTTTCTGCTGAGGTTGCCTTGCATTTTCCGGTAGGCTCTTTGGGCAGTTGATCTCCTTTCAAGAGACTCTGATTACTCAGAGTTCTCCTTGGGCTCTGTGTGGTAAAACAGACATCTTTATTATCCTCTCACTGAGAGTGCAGTTTTGTTTTGTTTTTTTTTTCCCCAGATGTAATCATCTACTCTGTTGACACAATCTGTATCAGTAGACTTGCCAATAAATTTATTTTTATATGTGCATTAGGCATAGTTCATTGTATTCTCTTCTAAACACTAGGGACACACATCCAGCTTTCTGAACAGTCTTTTTTTTTTTTTTTTTTAAAGATTTTATTTATTTAAGAGAGATCACAAGTAGGCAGAGAGGCAGGCAGAGAGAGAGGGGAGGAAGCAGGCTCCCCACTGAGCAGAGAGCCCAAAATGGGGCTCAATCCCAGGACCCTGAGATCATGACCTAAGCCGAAGGCAGAGGCTTTAACCCACTGAGCCACCCAGGTGCCCCTTTTCTGAACAATCTTAATGGCTTAATAGCTTTTTTCAAAGAATTCTTCACTTTTAGCCTTGACCTTAGTTCTTCCTCATGGGTTAGTGGTATGGAGCTAGGAGTTGTAAAACCAGGCTGGGCATTCTCTACACAAAGCCTGAAGAGATGGTGTAGCACCTCATTTTGGAATGTGGGAGTACTTACACCCTCATTTGTTCTCAATTGGAATGAATCTCATTGAACATCTTTTCCTCCATTCTGAAAATGTTCAGCCGCTTTATAGATACCTCATTCTAATAGTATTCATCTGTATTACTTCACAGAGACTAAGTGGTTAATGAAAATTAGTTAAATTTTCAGTTGCGTGTAAGTTTTAAACCTACTAGAAGCTCAGGGTGCCTGAATAGCTCAGCCACATAAGCATCTGACTCTTGATCTCAGCTCAGGTCTTGATCTCAGGGTCCTAAGTTCAAGCTTTGTGCTGGGCTCCATGGTAGGTGTGGAGCCTACTAAGGAAAAAAAAACTCCTAGAGGCTCTTCTGTCTTTTTGCAGCTAAATGAGGTTACATAAGACTATGACTTTTAGTTAATAATAAAAGCAATGTACCATAGACCAGTTTATGTTTATTAGGTATTGGAATCTTTTGCTGGGATATGCTGTTTCCCTTTATTGGGTGATAAGTGTGTCTTAAATCCTTTCAGGAAGGAGATAGAAGGATTAAAAAAAATTATTGGACAGTTAAGCTGTTCAAATTATATTGTAGGTTGGCAGTAACATTCAGTAGAGATAGCCTAGAATTGAGACTGGAAAACCCATATTCTGGTTCTTACCCTGGTATCATTTCTGTGTACTCAAGCAAATCACATAGCCCTAGGACATCACCGTTTCCTTAACAGAAATATAAGAGTATTAGATGAGGCTCAGAATTTTCCAAACTTCTATTTCAGGAAAACCCAGGGTTCCAAAAAGATAATGCTGAAAATTCTACATATGTTTCGTTTGAATTTCATTGAAACTTTAAAAAATTCAAGTTGCTAGGTTGTCTCTTGGTTTAAAGTTTTTTTGCAAATCTTTATTTAATTCAAGTGTGTCCTGTTACTGCGAGGAAGATGATGTAATCCCAAATTGATCACTATTTATAACTGCTTATCTTTTTGAATCTGGATTGGTACTGGGCATCCAGACAAAATCCAGAACAGAAGTTACATAGTTATGGGTATGGATCTTTCTTTTTGAGTTTCAGAGAGGGAAGGATGATTTATTTATTTATATTTTATTAACATATAATGTATTATTTGCTTCAGGGGTACAGGTTTATGAATCATCAGCCTTACACATTTCACAGCACTCCCCATAGCACATACCCTCTCCGATGTCCATAACCCAGCCACCCTATCCCTCCTCCCCTATCCCCCCAGCAACCCTCAGTTTGTTTCCTGAGATTAAGGGTCTCTTATGGTTTGTGGGGATGGATCTTACTATATCCTGGTATCCATACCTCAGATTTCAAATGTTTGTGTTCATTTTGAACTTCAGAAAAATTTTTATATGAATTTTTTCATCTCTTATGTTATGAATTTAACTTAAGTCATGGTATAACATTCTGTAGAGTGGACAGTTTAATCTTTTAAGCCTTAAAAAAATGAGATGACCATCAGATTTTTAACTTTTATTTTTTTTCCTTTTATGAAGATACGCCATCTATTTCCTTGCCTTCATTTGAGCTGTCTCCCATCACGATTTTTATCTGGCTAGGATTTAAATTTATGTTGCATTTTAAACATTATAAACTTTATGCATGAATCATTATGATTCTCTAATGAAGTATTAACTTACACCTTATTTTAATACTTACTTTCTAGGCGTATTGTATTTTAGCGGGATCATTAGCATCTGAAGGAGGTATGTACTGTTACAGTATCTCTTTATTCTTAATTTAGTAATATATATTCAGCAGTCCATTTTTATAAATTGCTAAATTCCACTGATTAAAGAAAAACTATGGAAATAGGAATCTACTTCGAGGGAGTAAATTCTTTGTATAATGTACTATGTTATTCCTCTAATGGATGTGGGCAAGGGAAAAGCTGTTATTTTGCTCTTGAGTATCTTAATCATAACCCTCAGAACATTTGGAATGGAGCCTAAAAACATACCTATATATTGAATTTTTAAAAATCATGTTTTAATGGGGCACCTGGGTGGCTCAGTCAATTAAGCAGTTGCTTCCAGCTCAGGTCATGGTCTCGGGGTCCTGGGATTGAGTCCTGCATTGGGCTCCTGGCTCCGTGGGAAGTCTGCTTCTCTCTCTCCCTCTGCCTGTCCCCTGGCTTGTATTCTATTTCTCTTTCTTGCTCACTCTCACTCTCTCACAAATAAATAAATAAATTAAAAAAAAAATAAAACCTTGAGAAGGTTTTAGTAGTGTTAATCATGGGAAGCTGACTCTTTGCAATAAAATATTTCCAGGTTTCTGCAGGTTTCAGCTGTAGCAAGTTTTATGACAGAGAAGTACTACATCATATAGGAAACTGCCTGATTCATTGCTGTATTCATAGTGTGCTTACTTCCCATATGTTGTCATTCCCAATGCTGTGTTCCCTTAATCTTTGACAGTCTGCAAAATGGTGATAACACCACTGTCTCAAAAGGTCGGAAGGATCAAAAGTGTGTTTAGTGTGGTGCCTGCCAACTAGTGCTGTCCAATAAATTAAGGTCATTAAGGTGGTGGTAATGATATTTAAATTATTATGGTTTAGAAATATGGGATTCCTTTTGTTTTGACGATAATTGGAGTCTCGATAGTGACTAGTTAATATAGAACTTTTATTGACAACCCTGGCGTTAAAAGTGTTGTACCTGTTTATTTTGAGATGCCGTCTTTAAAATTTGGAGGCATGCAGTTTTTTTCTTGCTGATATGAATGCTTTTCTTTCAGCAACACTTCTTGTTGCTGTAAATGAACTTCGTAGGAGTGCTCGGGCCAAAGGAATGTCATTTTATAAATATGGTATGTATGTTAGAAGCCAGGTGCCTTACTTCATCTCCTTTATTTTCTAAAATTGCCCAGTACTATTGCTTTTTCCTTATAGGGGTGTACAAAATATATATCTTGATGTCTTCTCTGTGTGGCTCTTACGTTATATATCATCTCTTTTAAAAAGAGAAATGTAATGTGATATGAACATGAATACTTTATATTTGGATTTTAACTGAAGTGAACTGCAGTTTTTCTATATATCTTTTTATAACCAGAGAAAGTAATTTGACTTTAAATTTCAGTTACTGTCAACATTAAAACCAATAAATTATGTTTACATTGAACAGGGTTTTTAAAATCAGGATCTCATACATTTTTTAATCTTAATTTTTATCTCAGTTTTAGATAGATACTTAATAAAATGTTACATGATAGGATCAAATTAGGATTTCAGAAAGTTTCTTTTCTTGTCTCTACCCCAATGATTAAGTAATGGAAAGTCGTGATCCTAGTACAAATGTTATATTACTGGAGGATACTGCAGCGGTCTTGGGAGTGACCATAGCAGCTACGTGTATGGGCCTTACTTCTATAACAGGTAAATATTTCTTAAGTTATAGGTGATTTATTTGTACTACTTAAATAATTCTCTAATATGTGTGTATTTTCTTTTATATCATTGAATAATTTTAAGCCAACAGATTGTTAAATGCTAATTCCACACTGACCCTCTATTTGTGTAAGACAGATAAGACGATAAAAGTCTTCAGATTTCTCTCTCAGAAATGTTCTTAGTTTGAAATAAAGAAGGCTATTGTTAGAGCATTTCTCTAATGTGCTAAATCTTTGCCTTAATAAATTATGCAGCTACTCTGAGCCTAATAAGTATTGATAATATTTGGCCTAGTGACCTTGAAGGTTTATTAATATATGGGAGAGAACGTTAATAAACCCTAAAATTGTAAATAAATATATATGGTAGCTCTTCTTCACTTGTCTTCCACTGTTAGTGCCAATAATAACTGCTGTTGTTTTCCTGTTTCCTGGACTCTAGTTGATTTTATCCTCATTTTGGTAGCTAGTTAATTTGCAGAACAGTTCAGTACAGGCCAGTGAGAAGACAGAGAAATCATTTTTATTTTCTAAAACAAAAGAACCATGTGGTATGAAAGGATTCCATTTCTGAGGATGGAACTCTCTTGGAATGGAGCTTCTTCCATGCTTATCCGTTTGTCTTTGCACATTTGAAGTAATTGTAGGTGATGAGCTTCCACAGTTCTGCGTGTTTCTTAAAATATCTGAAATATGAATGAGTCTTACTCATTTTGAATGTACATCTCAAGACTAAACCAGTGTTCTCTGATATTCACTGTGATCCAGAATATTTCTAAAAGTTCTGAGTGTTTTTCTGGTTGACCTTACCATTTTAGACATTTCTTAGACAGATTATCACCTAGCAAAATTTTAGGCTTAAGGAAAGTGTCACTTGATGAATAAGTCATCTATTAATAGATTATTTTCCTTTGGATAATAATAAAAGTAGTCAAATCAAACTTACATAAATTTTTGTTTTGAGAGTTTTACATTGTTTTAATTCATTGTTAAATTAATTCATTTAAATTAAATAACATGCCAAGAAATAAATATTTTCTAACTAATATTTCTGTTTAAACAGGATTATTTATACATGTGTATTTTTAAATAATAATTAGGGAAATTTGGATTTTTAAAGAATAGTATTTGATTTTGAACTCTGTAATTACAAGCCTCCTAGTGGATTATATTTTACAAATGGATCATTTTTTTCTTTTTTAAAAAATTTTTTATTTTTTATTAACATATAATGTATTATTAGCCCCAGGAGTGCAGATCTGTGAATCGCCAGGTTTACACACTTCACAGCAGTCACCATAGCACATACCCTCCCCAATGTCCATCACCCAACCACCCTCTCCCTCCCTTCCTCCCTTCAGCAACCCTCAGTTTGTTTGGTGAGATTAAGAGTCTCTTATGGTTTGTCTCCCTCCAGATCCCATCTTGTTTCCTTTTTTCCCTCCCTACCCGCCAAACCCCCAATGTTGCCTCTCAAATTCCTCATATCTGAGAGATCATATGATAATTGTCTTTCTCTGATTGACTTATTTCGCTCAGCATAATACCCTCTAGTCAAATGGATCATTTTTAATACCTTAGCACAGATTAGTCATTTTACTTTTTCAGTGTTATATTCTAAGTGTTAGTAAAACTAGTATGTAAATTGATTTCTTTTTTTAGTAAAATGTATGTTTTATCAGGCATTAAGAGAGTTAAATTTAGGGTTGGGAGAGAGGGGTGGGGTTATGGACATTGGGGAGGGTATGTGCTATGGTGAGTGCTGTGAAGTGTGTAAACCTGGCGATTCACAGACCTGTACCCCTGGGGATAAAAATATATTATATCTTTATAAAAAATAAAAAAATAAAAAAAATTAAAAGGCAGACAAAGGAATGGGAGGAAAAAAAAAATAAAAAAAAAGGGCCTAAAAAAAAAAAAAATAAAAAAAAAAAAGAGTTAAATTTAGTACTGATATTTGATCTTTGGGATAAAAAGACTTAATTTTATAAAAGCCTTGTATCTAAAGTTTATTATAAAAATTTAAAATATATTTATGGATGTCTGTTTTGTAAATACTAACCCGCACATTCATAGATAATAAATCAACTCTTCTCATTGGTTCTGGGAGAGAATTAAGACCTAACAATGTAAGGCAAAGTTTAGAATCACCTGGAGGGCTTGGGAAGACAAAGAATGTTGGTCCCAACTCTGGACTTTTTGATTCAGAAAGTCTTAGGTGGGGCCTAAGAACTTCATTTTTAGCAAGTTCTCAAGCGACGCTGCTGCAGCTGCTGGTAAAGAGCTGTACTGTGAGAACCACTGCTCTGTTACCTGTAGCATGTGATGAATTAACTTCTCCCCTTTGCATCTGGAATGCTACTAGCTATGTATCATCCTTGGATAAATGAAAAGAGAGATCCAGATAATTTTTTGTATGGCTTCATTCTCTCACAGACTCTTGAGAAGAGTAAGAGACAAAAAGTGGTCATTTTTTTCAGCTGTTGATCTCACAGTGTTGTCAGCGTGGGACAGGAAAAGTGCTACTGATACATTAAAAAGAAATGGATTTTGTTATATTAGTAGTATGTATATGATGTCTCTAAAATGCTCTGAAGCCTCACTCATGTAATGACCATATGCAAGAATTAGATCTTGAATAATTAAACCACATAATACTCCTGTGTATTGTGAAGCGTATTGTAACATCCCCATTTTGTAGTATAGTAAACTCATTAGGAGAAAGTCATTAAAGGAATTAGGAATGTATCTCAGGTCCTTTGTTTTACTAATTCTGGTTCTTTACTGACTAAAGCTGATCGAAACAATAGAAAATGTGAATTTACTGACTTCTCCTGTGCTTTATTTAGGTAATCCTCTGTATGACAGCCTAGGTTCTTTGGGTGTGGGCACGTTATTAGGCGTGGTCTCAGCATTCCTCATCTACACCAACACGGAAGCTCTCTTAGGGCGATCCATCCAGCCAGAGCAAGTACAGCGGCTTACTGAACTCCTAGAGAACGACCCATCAGTAAGGTCAGCTTATTCCAGTGATGCTGCTAAGGTTTCCAAAACATACTAAGAAATAGAAATGCTTGGTTTTTAAATACTTCCGGAAGAGTTTGTGTCTCCCTAACTTTTAGATAAGACTTTTTAATCTATGACTTTTCAGACTTGTAACCTTAAAAGAAAATAAGTGAAAACATTTAGGAAACTCCCTGTTTCTTTTCAATTCTGTATATCTTTAACTTTTAAAATAAGGAACAGTTAGATGATGTAGTGGGAACAGAAGTTTGCAAGCAATTGTCTTCTTAATGTAGAACCACTGACGTGAAGCCTTTGTATTTACTCTTGCCTCGTATTTGTATTATAATTACAAATTGCTATCTTAAATTTAAGAAGATTTTTATTCAACGAGGAGGTGATTACCAAATGAATGTAAGTTATACTCCTTTTGAAAATAGACATTTTGTTTTAGCTCATTCTACAGGTTTTTCCTTACAATCTTTATCTTTTAAATGATGTAAAAATGAAGAACTGAAGGAACGTCTGGCTGGCTTAGTCAGTAGAGCATGCAGCTCTCGATCTCAGAGTCGTAAGTTCCAGCCCCACGTTGGGGGTAAAAAAAAAAAAAAAAAAGAAGAACTGAAGACTTAGGAGATAATCAGAATCAGAGTTCTAATTAGTACTTTATAGGAAATTCAAGTTTCAGAGTGACATGGAGGGAATAAACCTTTAAAATCCCAATTTTCTACTAGCTACATATGTGTTAAACTTTAAAAGAATGTATTTTTCTTCTGTGTTATAACCAGATTTTTTTTTTAAGATTGTTTATCTGAGAGAGAGAAAACACAAATTGGGGAGGGGCAGAAGGAAAGAATCTCAAGCAGACTCCCCTCTGAGCATAGAGCCCAGACACGGGGCTTGATCCCACAACCATGAGATCATGACTTGAACACCTAACAGACTTGAGCCACCCAGGCACCCCTTACAACCAGAATCTCTAAATCTTTGAAGAATGACCTGTATATCCAAATCAGTAAAACAAATGAGTAAAATAATATTAGATTTATATTCTAAGCCCTATATTTTTAATCTGGAAAAGTAGTTACCTTGCTAGATTAGACTAGAAGTTGAGTATTCTTAGAATTACTATTAGGCTTAGTACTTGATTAATCCATGTTAATATCCTTTTCCTTATAACATCTTTGATTTTGGTATCAAGGTAATACTGACATTAGAGAATGAGTTGGTTTTTTGTTTGTTTTAAGATTTTATTTATTTATTTGACAGACAGATCACAAGTAGGCAGAGAGGCAGGCAGAGAGAGAGAGAGAGAGAGAGAGGAGGAAGCAGGTTCCCCACTAAGCAGAGAGCCCCATGTGGGGCTCGATCCCAGGACCCTGGGATCATGACCTGAGCCGAAGTTAGAGGCTTTAACCCACTGAGCCACCCAGGCGCCCCTAGAGAATGAGTTGGGAAGTGTTCTCTCCTCTAATATTTTTTTTTAGAAAAGTTTATGCAGAGTTGGTATTATTTCTTCTTTTAAAGTTTGGTACTAGTCACCAGTGATACCATCTGGGCATGGGCTCTTCTATGTGGGTAGTTTTTTGATTACTTATTCTACCTGTTTACTTGTTACAGGTCCAATCAGATTGTGTTTTTTTCTCAAGTCAGTTTCAGTAGTTATTGTCTTTCTAGGAATTTGTACATGAGTTCTTAATTATCTAATTTTTGGCATACAACCATTCATAATTTTCCTTTGTAAGCTTTTTATTTCTTAGGGTTGGTAGTAATGTCTCCTCTTTCATTTTTTTCATTTTAAAGATTTTATTTATTTATTTGACAGAGATCACAAGTAGGCAGAGAGGCAGGCAGAGAGAGAAGGGGGAAGCAGGCTCCCCACTGAGCAGAGAGCCCGACACGGGGCTCGATCCCAGGTCCCCGAGATCATAACCTGAGCCGAAGGCAGAGGCTTTAACCCACTGAGCCACCCAGGCGCCCCTTCTCTTTCATTTTTGACTCTAATAGTAATTTGGGTCTTCCTTTTTTTCTTGGCCAGTCTAGCTAAAGGCTTGTCAGTTTTGTTGACCTTTCCAGAGAACCAGCTTTTAATTTTATTTTGTTGTTTTCTCCATTTCATGAATTTCTGCTCTGATCTACATTATTTCCTTTCTTCTGCTTGCTTTAGTTTTGTTTGCTCTGTTTTCCGGTTTCTTAAGATGATAGTTTTAAGTTTGTCATTTGATATCTATCTTTTAAATATAGGCTTTTAGGGGTACCTGGGTGGTTCAGTGGGGTAAGCCTCTGCCTTCAGCTCAGGTCATGGTCTCAGGGTCCTGGGATCGAGCCCCGCATTGGGCTCTCTGCTCAGCAGGGCGCCTGCTTCCTCCTCTCTCTCTGCCTGCCTCTCTGCCTGCTTGTGATCTCTCTCTCTGTCAAATAAATAAATAAAATCATAAAAAAAATAAAGGCTTTTACAGTTATGAATTTCCCTCTGAGCATTATTTTACACTGTATTAGTCAAATAATGAAATTTGTAATATTTTGTTAGGATTGAGGTAGATATGCTTTTTAAAAATGAAAAAATTATATAGCTTCTTGCCTATCTGGACAAGTTTTGATTCATTGGTTATATATAACTTTATAAGTATTAAATCATTCGTACTTTAATCATTGATAAATATGCTTTTTTATTTCTGTCTAAAGAATTTTAGGCTCACTATTTACTGATTTGCTCAGGATCACTCAGAAATTAGGGTCAAATGTTTTGAGTATTTGGAGTCTCATTTAGGCACGTTTTCCTATAGCTTTCTATATCCCCAGGATTCAGAGTGTTTTGTTATTTTATATATCCCATAAAGAAAAGATGTTAACAGTGGTTATCATAGAAAGAAAATAATTTCTCAACAGTTTTCTAAGGAAGATTCATTAGTGAGAGCTAGGGCAAACAGGATGAAAAGTAGTTACAACACTAGAACATTTCTGGGAGGCATAGTAGTGTAATGGAGCACCGGGTTTGGGTGTCTGAAGATCTGGAGGTGAGTCCTGCCTCTGCTGTTAACTAGCTAAATTACCTTAGGCAAGTCACTTAGGCCCCTCTAGGACTGTTTTATAATCTGTAAGGTAAATTTATCTACTTCCCTGAATTCCACTCATTAAATGCCTGCCATGTAGTTGCTACCATATTAAACATTGTGTGTATGTGTTGGCTCATTATTCCCCATATCAGATCCAATTAGGTAGTCATTACTAACCTCATTCTAATAGAGTACTTCACTATTGTATGAAGACTTCTAAAGAAGCTTTTAAGAAAAGGAATTATGAGACAAAATTACAACATTGTAGAAAAGCAATTTAGAGTTTATTTTTTTAATCCACAAACTATGTAATTCATGTAAATACAGGCCATAGAATAATATTTTTTAAGTTTGCGTCTTTGTATGGCATTACACAAAAATAGCTAACTGGACGTTTGGGAATTTATAGATGGCACTTAATGGTGAATATTCTGAAAGCCATCTTGGTCCATTTTTATCACTGATGGAAAAAAATAAGAATTCTGTCCTTTGTGCCATTAAAATGTATATGTGTGCATATATAAATTTGTATGCATTGTCATTCATTGCAGGGCAATTCATGATGTTAAAGCCACAGATCTGGGATTAGGGAAAGTAAGATTTAAGGCAGAAGTAGATTTTGATGGACGAGTTGTTACAAGATCGTATTTGGAAAAACAAGATTTTGACCAAATGCTACAGGTAAGTTTATGTATTTATTGTTTTCTTGTCAAAGGTTAGAAAAATTACTTTTTAAGTAAATAAAACTTTTACAGGTCTTAAAGTTACTTCCGCTTTCAAGTTCTTAGGGTTCCAAAATCTGACAGCCGTTTTATTTGTTCTAGAGTGGGTCGAAGGAGAAAGCAGCGGAGCAAAGTACTATTCAAGTGCTTGTCATGGGCTAGGCGTTTTATATGTGTTCTCTAGTATACTCTCAACAACTCTGTGAGGTAAAGAAATAATACTCAGTTTTATATGTAGGCAAATTAAGACACAGAAGGATTAAGTAACTTGTCTAAAATTGCAGAGCCATAATATAGAGTCAGATGTGAATGTAGAGTTCTGTGATTCTACAACCCATGCTTTTACATTAAGAATTAAATTTAAAAGAGAATTGAGAGGATAATATAATGAACAGTGCAAAGTTCACTATATATTACTACTTGCCTTTATCAAATCTCAACATTTTATTCTACTGTATTTGCTTAGGATCTTCAAAAAAGAAATGAATTGGTACAAAAACAGGTGAAGACCTTGTTTTCTCCTTCTAGATCCTATTCTTCTTCCTCCATCCCTAGAACTAAAAATTATCTTGAATTTAGTAGTCATTTCCATTCAGTTTTTATACTTTTCAACAGATTTTTCTTAGCACTATAAGTATATAGTAACATTTTGAATATTTCAAAATTGATATAAATGGTCATACCATCTGATTTCCTCTATAGTTTGCTTAACAGAATGGTTTTGAGGGGTGCCTGGATGGCTCAGTCTTTAAGCCTCTGCCTTTGGCTCAGGTCATGATCCCCAGCGTCCTGGGATCGAGCCCTGCGTCTGGCTCCCTGCTGGTCAGGAAGCCTACTTCTCCCTCCCACTCCCCCTGCTTGTGTTCCCTCGCTCATTGTATCTCTCTGTGTCAAATAACTAAATCTTAAAAAAAAAGAAAACATAACCCAGCATGGTTTTGAAATTCCTACATATTATTATATATGTATACACACACACACATATCTAGTTCATTTTAATTGCTATATAATATTCTGTGAATATAGTGCAATTTATTTATCCAGTCTCCATTTGATGCATATTTATGTCCACAATGGCATTCTCTTATGTTTTCTTGTTCAGACGTGTAAGAATTCCTTTAGGGTACTGTACAGCTAGATTTAAAATGGTTGGGCTAGACTTGGCGCATCTGGGCAGCTCAGTTGGTTAAATGTCAGCTCTTGATTTTGGTTCGGGTCTTCATCTCATGTTGGGCTCCGTGCTGGGTGTGCTTACTTAAAAACAAACAAAACAAACTTACTTTCATCTTCCCTAGATGGCAGATTATGCTCCAAATTGTGTCAATTTAATTTCCACCATCAGTACATCAAAGTTTCTATTGTTTCACATTCTTACTAGATGGTATTATATTGACAGTTTTAAATTTTTGTCATTATGATAGATATGAAACTGGTGATTTATATGTAATTATAATTTCTGTCCCCCCCCAAGTAGTAACAGTGAGGTTAGTAAACATTTAAATTTATTGACCATTGGGATTTCCTATACTTCTTGGTTTTTTAGTTAATTTCTTATTCTGACAAATTAATAAACATTTTATTTTTAATATGCTGGACACTGATCCTTCCTCAGTTGTGAAATGCAAATATCTTTTTTTGTTTTTTAAAGATTTTATTTATTTATTTGACAGAGAGAGAGATCACAAGTAGGCAGAGAGGCAGGCAGAGAGAGAGGAGGAAGCAGGCTCCCTGCTGACCAGAAAGCCCAATGCGGGGCTGGATCCCAGGACCCTAAGATCATGACCTGAGCCGAAGGCAGAGGCTTTAACCCACTGAGCCACCTAGGCGACCCGTGAAATGCAAATATCTTTTACTGTGTGATTAACCATTTCACTTTGTTATTGGACAGAAGGTTTAGTGTGTTTTTTAAATTTATAATCTTTTTCTTTAGGCTTTTAATTATCTTGCTTGAGAAATACTTCCTTATTCCAATATCATAAAAATATTCTTTTTTCTTCTAAATGTTTTGTGGTTTGTTTTCTACCCTTAGTTTTCAAATTTGCTTAGAATTATTTTTTTGTTTAATGATCTGAGGTAGAGGTTTAATCTTTTTTTCCTATAGAAAAAGAATTGCCCTTGCACTGTTTATTGAAGAATAGTCTGTTCTTTTCCCACTAATTTTGTAATGTTATCTTTGTGAAGTATTATACTTAATTTTTTGTTGAATTAAATTTTTTTGGAACTAGGTGGTTCATCACCTTCAGCGTGAAAGTTTTTTGCTAAATTTAATGGTGTTTGTTACAATTCTTTAAAGAACTCATCGGTATACTAATACGATTTTTTAAAAAGTTATTTTGTTTTCCTGTTGTTTTCTTTATAGGAAATTCAAGAAGTGAAAACTCCTGAAGAACTAGAGACCTTTATGCTTAAACATGGAGAAAACATTATTGATACTTTAGGAGCTGAAGTAGATAGACTGGAGAAAGAACTAAAAGTAAGATGTAATCATAATAATCATAATGCTGACTCTTAAGTACTTACTCTGTGTAAGAACACTGTGCTGATTGTATCATATGTGTACTTCTCTCAGTAACCTCATGGTTTGTGACTGGTGGTTGTGAACAAGAAAAATCACTGGGTTCAAAGAAGTTGGGTAATTTACTCAAGGAAGTAGGGAATTGGGCATTTGTTGGTCAGTTCCAGATTCTGTACTTTCAACCACTATTTGATAGTGCCTGCTTAGTTTTTAAAATAGCTAAAGGTTTTGTGTTTGTTCTGAAATAAAAAGCATTTTGAAAGTTTCTAGAGGGGACGCCTGGGTGGCTTAGTTGGTTAAGTGGCTGCCTTCGGCTCAGGTCATGATCCCAGCGTCCTGGAATCGAGTCCCACATCGGGCTCCTTGCTCGGCAGGGAGCCTGCTTCTCCCTCTGCCTCTGCCTGCCACTCTGTCTGCCTGTGCTCACGCTCTCTCTGTCTAACAAATAAAATAAATAAAATCTTTAAAAAAAAAAAAGTTTCTAGAGAAAGGTGAAATGGAAACTAGATTCTCTTCAAAAGTTTGAAAAAACAGAATGTGACCTTGAATATCCACAATCTTCCTTTTACTCCATCTGTCATTATTTTATATTTTCTTTTTGCTTCTGTTCAGTTGGAGATCATTACAACCTATTGGTTTTTTACTGAAATATTACCTGATAAGACTATCTTTAAAAATCTCAGTATTCTCAAATTGTCATTTATTGACTCTTGAGTTCAAGTTATTGGAAAAATAAAACTTATAAATGATCTTTAACATACATAGTTTGTTGAAGGCAGTGCATTTTCTTCAGCTGCTGTTGACCATTCTTCAGTTTTGTTAAACACTGAAGGCAAATAACAAAAATTGAAGGGTATCATTTCTGTCACTACTTACTATTTTTTTTCTTTTAGACTCTAGTTACCAGAGTAGTAGAAGCACTTCAAATAATATGATTGTGTTTATGTTAATATTATAGTTCACAACATGATTTTCAAGTTTGTAGATGAGCAGTTCTCAAATATTTTCATCTTTAAGATTCTTTATATTCTTAAAAATTATTCAGGACCCAAAGAGCTTTTATTGATTTGAATTAATATTTATTGATATTTATTAAATCATAAATTAAAATTGAGAGCTCTAAAAATATTCATTTAAAAAACCATAATAAACTGGGGCGCCTGGGTGGCTTACTGGGTTAAAGCCTCTGCCTTTAGCTCAGGTCATAATCCCAGGGTCCTGGGATCCAGCCCCACATCCAGCTCTCTGCTCAGCAGGGAGCCTGTTTCCTCCTCTCTCTCTGCCTACTTGTGATCTCTGTGAAATAAATAAATCTTAAAAAAAACTATAATAAACTATTACATGCTAATATAAATAACATTTTAATGAAAAGTAACTATATTTTCCAAAATGAAAAAAATAGAAGAGTGGTATTGTTTCACATTTAAAAAAAAAAAAAAATCTAAGACAGCTAGATTCCCCGTATCTGCTTCTGTATTCATTCTGTTGATGTACATTGTTATGGTTGAAGAATAAGAAGAAAAGGGAAAAGGGAAGAATCTTTAAAAATATTCTTAATGTGTTTTCAGATAATTGTGATATTCTTTTTGGATATGATACCAATACCTGACAACTCTTAGCCTCTTGAAGCTTAGTTGCAATGTGGAATCTGAAACTGTATCAGAGAACTTTTCACATACTGTTTGTGAAGTTAGGGGGCACAGTCCACAAGATTACCCTAATTTCTTGACACCAGTTGCAAATTTCAAGGGGTTCCTCATATCACCCTCAGGTTTGATAATTCATGAAAAGGACACAAAACTTACTGAATGCTTTTTTTAAAGATTATTTATTTGAGAGAAGGAGAGAGAGCATGGCCAGGAGAGGGAGAGAGAATCCCAAGCAGACTCTGCACTGAGTGGGGAGCCCAACTCAAGGCTTGGTCTCAACACCCTCAGGTCATGACCTGAACTGAAACAAGAATTGAGTGCTTAACTGACTGCGCCACCTAGACACTGCCACTGAACGCCTTTAGACTCACGGTTAGGATTTATTACAGTGAAAGGACACAGATTAAAACTAGCCAAGGGAAGAGATACAGAAGACAGCATTCCAAACACAGAGTTTCAGTTGTCCTCTCCCCATGGAGTCATGGACAGTGTTATTTTCTGACAATGATGTGTGACAGTTTGCACAGAGTATTGTCAACCAGGGAAGCTTAACTGAGCCTTGGTGTCCAGAGATTTTATTGGGGCTCCTTTGTTGACTGCTTGGCTGGTCGACCTTTCATCTCTAGCCACTCCAAGGAAAAGCCCACACTTTTTGTCTCCAGCCCCTTGTGGATATAGAACATATACTGTGTGGCCAAAGATAAAGACAGAATTAACCAGGACATTCCAAGGGCCTAGAGGATCACCTCCCATAGCCAAGGGCCAAAGCCAGAATTCTCTCTAGGTATGATTAATTATCTGCTATACACTATTACTTTAAAATCCATTAGTCTGTCTCTGTACTTTGAATCTTTTAACCCATGCATGATTCTGGAAAGTTATGAATTGGCCAGTTAGAAGTGCTGATTCACTGAATTTATGCATATCTTTCAAACGGTGATACATTTCTAAGTATTGGGAAGCTGTCGGGGTCGTAGTGGTAAGATAGAGAAGTTTTTCAGTATTCTGATTTTCATTAGAAACCTTGCATTTTACCATTAGCAACAAATATTATTGTTTTCCTTGAAGTAACAGATTTATTTTGTTCACTTTTAAAGAAGATCTCTGCCAAATACCCAAATTTGAATAACCATAGTTTGTTAGTTTTTCTTTCAAGTAAAACTGGGTTTTAGATAAGCTCACCTTTTTTTTTTTTTTTTACAGTAGGCTCCATGTTCGGTGTGGGGCTTGAACTCTTAAACCCTGAAATCAGGAGTTACATACTCCACCAACTGAATCACCCAGGAGCCCCTAAACGGTGTTTAGATTAAAAAGCATCTCACTCAACCCATAATTCAAGCAATCACAGAAGCACTTTTCCTTGTGAAACTTCAGAAGCAGAGGGGCTTTGGAAACACTTTCCATTTTGTCATGGAATATCTTATTTATTTTTTTAAAGATTGCATTTATTTGTTTGAGAACAAGAGTGCATGAGCGAGTGCAAGTGTGGGGAGGAGCAGAAGGGGAGGGAGAGGGAAAGAATCTCAAGCAGACTATGCTGAATGCAGGGCCCACAAAAGGCAGATCTCCCAACCGCAGAGTCACCACCTGAGCCTCTCCACCCAAGCTGAAACCACGTTGGTGGCTCAACCAACTGGGCCATCCAGGCGATGCTTCACAGACCATTTTAAAAAGTATACTCAAGGGTTGAGGTTTAATAAACCAATGTTTTTACTACTTCATGAAGGGCATTTTATTTACTTTTTCATTAAGGACATTTTGTTTTTTAGGTACTATTTATTTTAGAGAGAAAGAGAATGTGAGTGAGGGGAGGGGCAGAGGGAGAGAGGGAGAAGGAATCCCAAGCAGACTCTGTGCTGAGTGCGGAGTCCGACTGGGAGCTCAGTCCCAGGACCCTGAGATCATGACCTGAGCCAAAATCAAGAGTCATATGCTTAACCAACTGAGCCACCCAGGCACTCTGATCATGAAGGACACTCTAAAGTGAAACTGGCTTTTTTTTTTTTTTTAATTACGTGTCTGACAATAAAGAAGCACAGTGACTGTCTGTCTGGTTTGGTGCCAGTTGCCTTAAATTGTGCAAAGATGCCATCAGATTTATCTGCCATTGCTTTGGTATGTCATCAGAGGAAATACCAGCATAGTTTATTATTATTTATTTGAAGGAGAATGAGTGAGAGAGAGCATGAGAGAGGAGAAGGTCAGAGGCAGAAGCAGACTCCCCAGGGAGCTGTGAGCCCGATGTGGGACTCGATCCTGGAAGTCCGGGATCATGACCTGAGCCGAAGGCAGTTGCTCAACCAACTGAGCCACCCAGGTGCCCAATACCAGCATAGTAAAGGCAAATAACATCAGTGGTTATTATGAAAATAGTTTTTACCTTGGAATCCCCCTTGACAAAGTTTCAGGGGCTCCTCAGTGGCTCAGTTGGTTAAGCGACCAACTCTTGATTTCTGCTCAGGGTGGTGAGATTGAGCTCCGGGTCCCAGTCAGCATCCAGGCTCTGCACTCAGCGTGGAGTCTGCCTGAGATTCCTTCTCCCTCTCCCTCTGCCCTTCCCCCTGCTCGTGCACGCACACACTCTCAATAAAACAAACAAACAAATATCTTTGAAAGAAAGAAAAGGTTTCAGGATCTTTGGGCCATACTTTGAAAAATCACTTTTCTAAATATAATACCAGGTGATTATTTTTGTGCAGGGTGACATGAGAATAAATAATCTTTGCTTTTCCCATTCTGTTTGTTTTTATTTCCCTGACATGGATAAAATAATGGACTTTTCGACTAAATCTTTATTTTATCTTTAATAGGAACAATAAGTCAGACACCAGGTTTGAGTTAACAAATTGGTCATTCTTGTATTTACTTTTATCACAATCAGGTAAATTTATTATTTTTGTCTAGCTAACTGTGTGCTTTAATTAGAAGCTATTAAATCTTTAAGAGACTAAACTAATCTGTACGTGTTTTTGAAATATAAGTCTCTCAAACCAGGAAACAAAGTTAACTTATGCCTTTAAATTGAAAACCTCTCTGACTAAGGTAATAAGGTATAATTTATCTTTTTTTTTTTTTTAAAGATTTTATTTATTTATTTGACAGACAGAGATCACAAGTAAGCAGAGAGGCAGGCAGAGAGAGAGAGAGGGAAGCAGGCTCCCCTCTGAGCAGAGAGCCCGATGCGGGACTCGATCCCAGTACCCTGAGATCATGACCTGAGCCGAAGGCAGCGGCTTAACCCACTGAGCCACCCAGGTGCCCCTAATTTATCTTTTTTTTAAAAAGATATTATTTGGGGCACCTGGGTGGCTCAGTGGGTTAAAGCCTCTGCCTTCAGCTCAGGTCATGTGGGATCGAGCCTGTCTCCTTCTCTCTGCCTGCCTGCCTCTCTGCCTACTTGTGATCTCTGTCTGTCGAAAAAATAAATAAATAAAAATAAAAGATATTATTTATTTATTTGTCAGAGAGTGAGAGAGAGGGCAAGAGAGAGAGAGCATAAGCAGTGGGGAGAGGGATAGAGGGAAAAGCAGGCTCTCCACTGAGCAGGGAGCCTGATGTGGGGCTCGATCCCAGGACCTTGGGATCATGACCTGAACTGAAGGCACATGCTTAACCAACTAAGCCACCCAGGTCTCCCTTAATTTATCTTAAAGGAAAGTTCTTCATAGTTGAGGCACCAAACCAACAGTGCATGAATTTAATTCTTGTTTCTTGTTAGGAAAAATAGCTGATTTTCTTTTGAAAACTAAAACTTTGGCATATTTCTTTCTTTTTAGTATCTAAGCTTGGTTGCCTTCTAGGTTAAAATTTAATAATTATTCAATTATTTTGGAAGATCACCCTCAGTGATAAAATTTAGCAGTATGGCCATCTCTTTTGAGTAATGCCATTGATCTCATTATTAGAATGGATGGTATTTTTGGCATAAAATCTATAGCTTGGGTAGTTCTATATAAAAACATGAAAAATAATAGAAGCTAATTTATAAAGTCTCATATTATAAATATGAAATATATTTTGTTTTTATTTTGAAGTTCTTTGAACTGCTCATTTAAATTTTTTTTGTTCTACCTCTATGTCAATCTGTGGCTAGACCCTTCTCCTATCCTTCCATGAAGTTTTTTTGTGTTTGGGAGGCAACAATTCTGTTGGGAATTAATTTAGGGGAAAGATGCCATAGTATTTGCAAATTCCTAATAAGTAGTATTCCAGTTAAATGTTCTGCTCTTTAGTCCATCTTTTGCTTCTTGAATTGCATGCTCCTATAGCATTTTCTTGAGTCTGCAGCATTGCAAAATAAATTACACATTGTGGTTTTCATCTCTCCATAGCGAGTTTTGAAATAAATTTGTGGTATGTAAAATGTTCAAGTTGGATACTGGCTAGGACATAATAAATCAATAAATATTTGTTGAGGGATGCCTGGGTAGCACAGTCCGTTGGGCATCTGACTTTTGGTGGCTCAGATCATGATCTCGGGGACGTGGGATTGAGCCTCACATCAGGCTTTGATGTGAGACGGAGAGATTCTCTCTCCTTTCCCTCTGCCCCTCCTGCTCGTGCTCTCTCTCTCAAATAAATAAATCTTTTTAAAAATTTAAGTATTGAAAAAATGAATGAAAATTGTAAGTTGAACACCACTTACTGATTTTCATTTCTATTTAACAAAATTTATTCAGTTTCTGCTATGCACATGATCTCTTTTTAGTCACTAAATATTAAAATTTAAGGATATTCTCTTTTTTTTCATTCATTCAGCAAATATATTGTATGTTTCTTCTTTGTATTTGGCACATTAAATTTTAGGAATTTGATAGTTTTCTCTCTAAAAACTTGATTTTAAAACAGACTACATCAGCTTTTTACTTTGTCTTGAGATTAAATTTTTATTGGTACACATTTGTTACATAGTGTTTTTTTAGATAGAATATTTTCAAAATTTCCATTAATAGCTAAACTTTTTCAAGGGATGGTTAGGGAGGACTGGGAAGGGGATGGACTGGAATGGTTAGGGAGGACTGGGAAGGGAAAATAAAATTGAGTTTCATTTCTGTTTGAGGAAATCTTTTTTGTTCTTTAATGAGTTTAGGGAATTCTAGATAGAGCAAATAGTTTAAGGTAAAGAGAGCATTGAGAACAAAAGGGTACACCTATGTCTGGGGGGGGCCTGGCCATTCTTGCATTAAGATCCAAGAGGAAAGAACCCTCAAGTATAGTTGAACAAAACTAGTTATAAGAAAAATCTCAGTGCACACTCAGTAGAATGCTCTAACTGGAGCTCAATTCCAGTATTACATCAGATTTTTGTCTTTATACTCAAATTCCTTTAATATAGGGAATATGCAAATGTTCCTAGGATATTATTTTTTTTAAGTTAGGAGTTATTAATCCTGATTGATTATCAGAATCCCTTAGAAGAGTTTTTCCTCCCATGTTGATTTATCTATCCATTTATTTAATATTTATTTATTTATTTATTTAAGTAATCTCTCCATCTAACGTGGGGCTCGAATTCATGACCCCCAGATCAAGAGTCACACGCTTTCCCAACTGAGCCAGTCAGGCACCCCTATTTTTATAACTTTTATCAAATAACACGCAAAGTTTATAAAGTCAAACAACTGAAAAGCTTATAAACAGAAGTGTCACTGCCTCACCATCCTCAATCCTTCGGCTCAGAGATTACCATGTCTAATATTTTTTTATATTTTGTACCATATTTCTATATGAAAGTCTTAAACTCCTCATGATTTAAACATTATTTATTTCCTCTTTGATAAATGTAAGTTATATAATTAGTTTTATGCGTTCTCTCTGCTCTCCCTTTTCACAATGTCATTCTGTTACATCTTACTACATTTTTAATTACCCCACAGATTGAGTTAGGTGTCCTTCCTTTTTGTACTCGTAAAATCCCAAGACCTTTACCTTGCTCTTTATTTTTTCTGCCTTGCTCTTCAAGTAGCAGTCTGTTAAAATTGCCTGCTTACCTACCTGCATTTCCTCACCAGACAAGTACCATTTGTTTCCTGTTCATTGTTACATACTTCAGTGCCTGGCACAGAGTAGGCCTGTGATAAAGATATTTTCTGTTGTTAGTGAATTGAAGTCCTTAAGCTAGCATTTAAGATTTTTCACAAGTTGGTTTCTGCTTGCCTTTCCCGCCTCCTTACTGATCCTACCCTCTCTGCAACTTTTTTTTTTTTTTTTGAAGATTTTATTTATTTATTTGACAGACAGAGATCACAAGTAGGCAGAGAGGCAGACAGAGAGAGGAGGGGAGGCAGGCTCCCTGCTGAGCAGAGAGCCCAATGCCAGACTCGATCCCAAGACCCTGGGATCATGACCTGAGCCAAAGGCAGAGGCTTTAACCCACTGAGCCACCCAGGCGCCCCTCGCTGCAACTTCTGTGGCTAACTGTACCACGCTGCCAGTGCATACTTCTCGGGCTCCCTGACTTTGCTGTCTGGTCCTCTTCATCATCTCTCTGGAAAACTCACTACTTCCAAGCCTTGTTTAGATATTACATCCTTAGTGAAGTCTTGCTGAACCTCACGAGTTATAGACCTGACATTTTTGTTCCCAGAGTTAGCATTATAGTACATTTTAATGCTTAGGAGCTTGGAGTCTGGAATCTATCCTGGCTTGGTCACTCACTTCCAGCTCCTTAAGTTTGGGCAGGCTAGTTAATTTCTTCAGACTTCTGTTTTCCCACATGGAAATGGAAACGATTGAGTTAGTAGAGGGCTTTAGAACACACACATGCATGTGAAGCCCCTTCCTTAGCACAGTACTTAGCACAGTACTTACCAAACAAAAGTAACTGCCCCTCAGTGTTAACTGTCATTATTGTTAATGCTAATGCGCTGACTCGTAGATGCTTATTGATATACTTGGCTCCCTGGCTAAACTGAGTCTCTCAAGTTCAGGAACAGGCTTATTTAATGATCATAGCTCCACTTTCTAGCACAGTGCGTGGCCCGAAACTATATGGCTTATTGCTAACATATATAGAATAAGTGAATTTTTTTTCTTTCTGATTATTTCTTCTTATTATTATTATTGTCTTCCAGTGATTTTTCTTTTTACCCCAAATGAGTATATTGCGGAAGTTTTGCAATGTTTGGCACATATGAGATTTTTAATCCATTCTTGTATTAATGAATATATGAACAAACTCAGGGAGGTAGGGCTGTTTACCATATTGTTCATAGTGTGTAATATTCCTCTATTGATTTTTATCTTGCTAACATACTACCATGAAATTGTTTGACCATATGGTTTCAGTGGCTTTCGTGATCTAAAGGAATAAAAGGAAGTAAAATTCTCTTTTGTTATGAATAACGTGGTGGTGATTTTTCCTTCCAGAAACGAAATCCTGAAGTGCGACATGTGGATTTGGAGATATTATAGATTTGATGGAATGAATCACCTTGGAAGGAAGCCTTGGAAACAAGTTTGGCAAGCCTGCTTTCCCACATCAAAGAAGTCCATGCTACTCAGAAGCTGTTTTTTTAAGATGGAGGAAATACTTAATGTGAAGGGCAGTTCAGCAGTCTACAGAACTAATACTACTTCATGTTTCTGAGACATATTACAAGTTGAATCAATTTGGAAATCTTGTTTTTATGTTTCAGTAGAGGACATTTTAGTTATCTAAATTGTTCATAATTTTTCATTTTACCCCATCAGGGTGTATTTTACCTTGCAATCATGTTTCCTTTCTTCACATTGGTAAAAATAAGCAACATCCATAGGATTACAATTTTTAATTTTATGACCACTGAAGATTTCACTCCATCAAAACCCATCAGTCTTGAACATCCTGGCTAAATCTTGGTTTTTAAACAGTCACCCTGTTTTTTTTTTTTTTTCTTATAGAATGTGGGAATTATTTTTACATAATTCTGCCCTGAGCACTAAGAGGAACACTTTCCTAACCGAGTTATCCACAAATGTTCATTCCAGAAATGGCTTAGTTACTGAATTGAAGGAAGACATGTCAGTCCACTCTTTTAGGCTATAGTAGTTGCCATTTTGTAAAATTTCTATCTCTCCTTAACCTTTTTTCTTTCTTTAGTTTAATTTTTCCAGTGTAGGAGATCCAAAATAACCCTAGATGTTTCCATAGGCCAGTTTGATGGCTGTTTTGTTTGTTTGTTTTCATTTTTTTCACTGGCTTCGGTGCCATAATGTGTATTTACTAGGAGGTAATGCATTTATAAGCATTTTAACATTCTGTAAAATGGACTAGAAATATTTATAATTTTGCAGACAGAACAGCATTTTATTTTTAATTTATTTAAAAAGGCACTACTCATGTAAATTTGAACTGTGGGGTATTTCTTGCTTTAAGAGAAAGAGAAGTAAATCTCTTCTTATGCAGAAACTTGTGGCCATGATTTTGTATAATGTCATAATCAATAGTGTGTCTGTAATATGAGTTTTTTGCAGTTATAAATGGGCATTTAACATAATATATGGCTAAAACATTATGTAAGTAGCTTTCTAGTGATCATCAGGTATCATGGTGAAAAAGCATACAATTCAGTACTGGAAATTTAGTGCAAAACTATAGTTGTGTCTCCATTCATCAAAATTACTTGGGGCGCCTCGGTGGCTCAGTGGGTTAAGCCTCTGCCTTCAGCTCAGGTCATGATCCAGGGTCCTGGGATCAAGGCCCACATCGGGCTCTCTGCTCAGCAGGGGGGCTGCTCCCCCCCCCCCACTTCTCTGCCTACTTGTGATCTTTCTCTGTCAAATAAACAAATAAAATCTTTAAAAAAAAAAAAAGCAAGACAACAACAAAAAAAACCCCAACTCATATGCACTTTAAATTGTTCAGGTAGCAGAGAGAATTGTCCAGGCAAGAGTGATGGCTGGGTGATTTCTTTTGCTGGATAAGTGAGTGTTTGACCTAAGGACCTAACTGTATGAGGTCAGTGTCTAAAAACCTACTCAGTTTGAGGTTTATGAATCACAGCAAATTGTAATCCTGGAAACAAAAAATAAACATTTGGTTAAAGGGGTTGTAATGGTAGTTTTTTGATCCAGGAATGTCATTTATTGGAAAATTATGAAAATTTACATCAGTGTACTTTTTTATTTTTTACCATTACAGAGCATTTTGAATGTTGTACATTTTAAGTGAAATAACATTCCAGTTTTATTTTTGAAGATACAAAATCATTATGTACATACATATATACATGTAACACAGTTTGATTCTCTTATGGTTTCAAATTCTTTACCCTTTTTTTTTTAAACTGTTTTTGACCCATTATACTTCACTCCGTACTTCTAATGTCTAGTTCCCACTTGTCATTTGTCCCATGTCACTGTCCTTTGGGAAAGTACCAAGTTATATGCAATTTCCTCCCAGTAAAATTACTCTGAAAAACTTCACATAGCTACAAGAGAGTAATTAACTCATTTAGAAAAAATGTTACAGTTGGTGTGCACAAGTTATTCTAAATGGTAGATTTTTTAAAAATTCCCTAAAAGAAACCAATTCCTGATATTTCATTGAGTTTTCTAATCTAATTTTGATTGAAGTCATGCCAGTTCTTAAATAATAATAGAAGTCTTATGTTTCTGTCTTTTCCTTCCATTTTTGTTCTGTACTAATATTGTAAAGTTTAACAAAATTTGACATAAAGACATATGGCATTATCTAAGAATTTGAGTATTTCTGTGAAAATGTATGCTATCACTGCTCTGTTTTGTTTTGTTTTTTTTCTCCTTTTAAATTAGAGTCCAGTTTGAATTTTAAAACCAGAGAATTTGGGCCTCTTTTTTTCAAAATAAGAGAATGTCTGTTCAGGTTTCTTGGTTTTGTGTTTTTCTGAATTAATGATTCTACTTTAAGTCTTGACAGGATGATACATACATAGCATTTGAACATGTAAGCATATAAATCTTGATCTTTTCAAGGGAAATAGCTTCCGTGATAAAGTAATTGTGAAAGTAATGTTGGAGAGTGAGAAGAGCAGTCAGGGGCCCATGACTCCTACTTGCTGACCTCAGGAGCTCAAAGGTGAACACATGCTGTTTTTAGTCCCAGCTGAGAATGGACCTCCAATCAGCTGTAAGTAGTAGGCCCCAAACTGTGTAAGGTGGCACATTTTTAAGACTACGGCAGTTGGGAAAATGAGGGATGGAGACCTATTTTTAAGTTGACCATCTTGGTGGCCAATAATATCCAATTCCAATGAGGGAGATTCCTGAACATGTACTAAAGAAACAGATACGATTAGACTGGAAATTTTTCAGATTTTCTTCAAAAACAAAGTTAATCTCTGCATGCATACATCCTACCCACACACCAAATAACCCAGAATAACAAAATGGCATAACACTTGAATTTTGAGTATATGATTTTAGTGTTACCTTAATTGTCCCATAATTTGGAGAATGCTTTTTGCTAAAATTACACCATCTAAAGGAAATGACTTAAGTTTTAAATCTGATAACTTTTTGAGGTAGAATGCTAGAAACTACAGAAAATTGCACAGGCATTTAGAATTTATACTATCTTAGATTGCATTTGTCAAGCTTTGGCATTTCTTTTAAATGTGATGACCCCCAATTTGCCAAACTGTCAGAAGTCAGTGAAGCAAAGAATTGAAGGTAAAATGTTGATTCAAAGATTATCTCCCCTAAATCCCTCATCCCTGTGCCTGAAATGGAAATTTGGAAGGCATTTATGTAGAAGATTGGCCTGGCAGCCTTTATATTTGCAGTAAGTTTAGTAGCATCTCTAGACTTTGGTTTTATGGAAGAGAAAATTTTTATTTTTATTATACTGTATTTCATCTCTCTGATTTCGCTGGCAGATTAAGATGGCCCTGGTCCCTCAGGATACTTTTTCCTTAATAAATGTCAGATGTAAGTAAGAGCAGTTCACTTCTTAGTTTGGGTTTGTTTTTTTTTTTTTCTTCCTGATAAATGTCCCATCAACTTAAGTCCTCCTTTACCTCATGTACTAATAAGAACTAAACTGTAAACTAAATTGATACATTTTACCTTGAAAATGCCTGTAATTTTGAACAGAATTTATTATTCATTGAGTATGCTTGTTTGTAAGTTTCCTGGTTTTACAATACCAAAATATAACAACTCAATCATTTTATAACCAGTTTTCAGGATAAAGAGAACCGTTAACAACATACCATTAGGAAGAAAACTGTTATTAAACATACCATTGGGATATCATATGTTTGGTAAAAGCACAAACCCCAAATGTTATATCCCTTATTGGTATATATTATTTCATTTTGATGAAACTAGATTATTTAAACATGTTAATTAGGTTATTTCTTCTGAGATGTGTCTATGTAGCATATTTAGAGGAAAAAAAAAAAAACCAACACAACACTAAAAGTTGCAACCTAGAGCCAGCCTGCTCTGGGGCCCATGATGAATTCTCTACTAATCCTAATATAGGAATTCCAACTGTACTTTCCTTTTTATAAGAAGCTAAACCAAAGTAATTACTGAAAGTAATTTGGTATTTTCAGCGCGCATAGTTCCCTCCCCTAAATAAAAATTTATTGAAAATAGAAGCACAGGGGTGCCTGGGTGGCTCAGTTGGTTAAGCGTTTGTCTTCAGCTCTGGTCATAATTTCAGGGTCCTGGGATTGAGCCTAGCATCATGCTTCCTGCTCAGTGGGGAGTCTGCTTCTCCCTTTTCCTCTGGTGCTCCTTCTCTTACTCACTCTCTGTGTCAAATAAATAAATAAAATCTTTTAAAAAAATTAAAACAGAAGCACAGTTGTTTAAAATTTGCATAGTAAAATACAGAATTGTATCTGTATCTTTATGGGCTTGTAGAGGCTTTAAAACAGACTTAAAACATAGCTGTTGGTATTATGAATCAACAGGATAATTTGAGTTTTTTATGTCAGGTACCCTTTTACGTATATTAACACATTTAATCCTTACAAAGAGCCAGTGGAATAGAGATGACTTACTTTTTTACTTTTTTTAGAGATGATTGAATGCAGATGAGGGAACTGAGATACAGTAGATCTATAAAGCCTGAGGATATGCGCCTGATAAAGGGCAGAGTCCAAATTTGAATGCAAATAAATTTGGCTCTCCCAAGTCACTCTGCTGAGCAGGAGAGCCCAAGAAGAGTAGCACTCAATAGAAAGTGGAAGCAAAATAATCATTTTATTGTGAAATAAGCCAGTGAGTTAATATTCAGTAGTCAGAACACCAAGCCACGTCTAATTTAGACTTGAAAGGGGGCTGGTGAGGTGGGCTTGGGGTGGGACATTGACGCTTTATAGAAGCTGAGGAATTGGCTGTCACTTCGAAGTTTTATTTTCAAGTATTACTTACAGACCACCTTAGAGACATACCCAGAAGGCACTACTTAGTTCAACTGTCAGTCATTGATTTGAACCACGCAGGAAAAATATTTAGGGAAAGGTGTGGAGGTTAGCATTAGTCAAAAAATTATAGAATGCCCTAAAGTTATATTTGAATAGATGAAACTTTATGTGATCTAAAATTAAACATTTATGTGTTCAAACAGATACATCAGGAACATTCTCTCTTCTAACTGTGACCACTAGTTACCCATCTTCTCCCAGAGAAACTTTCTCCCAGAGAAAGCTTATGATGTATCCTTACAGATCATTCAGTGTATGTACGCACACCCACATGCAAGTTTATAGTATATATATTTCCTCTGTTCTACACAGATGGGAAAATACTTACACAATAAGGAAATCTTCTTATAATTTAAGAAGTACATATCCGATTCCAGAGTTTTGTGTTCACTGAAAATTGTTACATCAAGAGGGTGGAACAGTATAGTGCTGTCCTTCACTGTATGGTAGCCACTTGTGACATGGGACTATTTTGTAAATAAGTAAAATTGAAAAATCAGTTCCCCGGTTGCATTAGCCACATTTTCATGTGTTCAGTAGCTAACATGTGGCCGGTGGCTACCATGTTATACAATGTAGATACAGAACATTTCCATTTCACAGTTCTTTTTGGACAGTGCTAATATGATAAAGTCATTCTATCTAATCTGTTTAGTATTTGAGAGTATCTTTATAGTGTATAACAAAATAACAGATCTTCCTTAACCTATAGTGATATGTCCCCATAAACCCATTGTGAGTGAAATAATCGTAAGTTGAAAATACATTTAATAGGGGCGCCTGGGTGGCTCAGTAGGTTAAAGCCTCTGCCTTCGGCTCAGGTCATGATCCCAGGAACCTGGGATCGAGCCCCGCATCGGGCTCTCTGCTCAGCGGCAAGCCTGCTTCCTCCTCTTTCTCTCTCTACCTGCCTTTCTGCCTACTTGTGATCTCTCTGTCAAATAAATAAATAAAATCTTAAAAAAAAAAAAAAGGAAGAAAAGAAAATACATTTAATACACCTACCCTACCAAACGTCACAGTTTAGCCTAACCTACCTTGAACGTGCTCAGGACACTTATATTAGCCTACATTTGGGGAAAATCATCTAACTCAAAGATTGTAATTAGTGGGGGCGCCTGGGTGGCTCAGTGGGTTAAAGCATCTGCTTTCAGCTCAGGTCATGATCCCAGGGTCCTGGGATGGAGCCCTGCATCAGGCTCTTTGCTCAGCAGGGAGCCTGCTTCCTCCTCTCTGCCTGCCTGCCTC